GCACTTATGTTGGTCACACGTGCTGTCCCAGTTAAAGCCGTGTTACCTCCAGATCTCAGTTATATTGCCGCAACTACTCCTAGTCCAAGTTTATCGAGCTTTGTGCTAAGGGATCTGGCGGACTATCATGTGTCTATCCTTTTAGGGTTTCTCACTGTAGCTGTTGCTTCTGTATTGCTCCTACTGTATCGCCGACGCTCTACTTCTCAGAATGGTCTCTTGTTAGAACTCACTACAGGTCCTGATTGTGCTACTGTCCCAGTTATGTCCCTGACTCTTTGCCCTTCTTATTGGAATATTCAGCCACCTTACACTATTGACAACCTTCGAATCTCTGGTTATTTCTTCCCCACTCTCTCTGTGAATTGGCCAGGTTTCACTGTTACGAACAAGCTGACTACAACTTCCATTGTTATCCCTAATAAAATAAGAATTTCCTTTCTAAATGCCCGTAAACTCCATAAGATATTAACACAACCTTTTAGTGCATACATTCTTCAAGTCCACAACAGTTTTTATCAAGTCATTGATCAACCAAACATGTTGCAGTTAATTTAGTGTGTGGGCATTGCATTTGAGCAATACATTATATAGTACATCATGTAACCATTTATGAATTTGATGTTTGATCTGTCTGTTTTTGCATTCATTTCTTTGTCTTATTACTTATGTTTTGTATAATTGTATAATGTTCTCAAATTAAAAGCTTTTGAGGACAAAAGCTCCACGACGCCCAGGGGTATGTCATAGTCCCAAAATACATCATATTTTCTTCTATTTTTTGTAAATAATTTTGACTTTATAAAATAAGACTAAACATCATATTTTGGGTATGTTACTTAATAATTTGTGTACTACAATTAACTATCAGTCGGTTTTTGAATACACCGGCCTTCATTCACAAGGTTGGGTTGATAAGCACTATGTATTAAGCGTTAAGACTACATTGTGTAGTCGAAAGGCATTATGTATTAAGCGTTAAGCCTACATGCATGTTCCGTCCAAAGTTATTATCAGTCGGTGTTGATATACGCCTGCCTTCATTCCCAAGATTTAGTCTATAAGCGTTATGAGCTAATTGTTAAGACTACATGTGTGTAGTCGAACGGCATTATGTATTAAGCGTTAAGACTACATGCATGTTCTGTCCAAAGTTATTATCAGTCGTTGTTGATATACGCCTGCCTTCATTCCCAAGATTTAGTCTATAAGCGTTAGGAGCTAATCGTTAAGACTACATGTCCAGCGTGAGAAGTAAACATTATTCTATGATAACGCGCTCTCCAAGAAAACTTATGTAATTTTAGTAATTTCTGCATACTCATGTCCTTCAAAACTGAGAGGTAATCTCTGAAATTCAGATAGTCAGCATGTTAGATTAGCAACATTGTGTAGATATTGTTTAAGTAAGTGATAATTGAAAATGCGACCGTATCATGACCTAAGAGCATCAGTGGTATAAATAACGGCCTCTATTCCGGGTACCTCACTGTTGAGACACACGGAATAAAGACTGGCCACTAATAGATGCTTCTCTTGGTTGTTTTAAGGTAAGATGTGTTCACTTCATGTATATTGTATGTTCTTAAACTATATTCCTATTTTTCCTGTTTTCTATTGCATTCTACATTCTCAGTTGGTTTGAATATAATCAACATTTTAAATTAGGCAATAATGACTAAGGTAACCAGTAAAGTTAGTATTATAGTAAGGTTAGATCATGTAGCACGAAAAACAATCTAACAATATAGTGTATATTAAAATAGTATAAAATATAATATGATAACGTTTTTAGACATTGGTTCAGCAAATTTATATTCCGCCGGGCTCGTGGAAGCAAAGTAATTCCTGTGCATCTGTTGTCAGTTGTATATTTTATTGAATGTTTGCAATTGAAGTGTGCATGTATGTAAATGAATGCATCTTTAAATGATTACTGTGTGTGTTCCATTCAAATGATTCAAACTACCCTTGATGTAATTAATGTTAAAACAATGTACTTATTGAGCTAGGCAACTATACTGTACACGCAAAACCCATGAGCGCACATAACACTTGTTGTTTAATTCAGCTGCTCATGTATTGCTATATCTTCAGTATTATTAAGCTCTATTTATTTCTACGTTGTACACATTCAATGACATGCCTTCGGGCATATAACTTTTTGTTATTAACGGTAGTTTAGATATAAAACATGTGGCCATATTATTTAATTAGCAGATTGAAATCTTATTAATATTTGTATATTCTATTATTCGGTTTAAGTTGTATTCTGTAAGGTTGTATTGAAGTAAAGTTCATCTTTACGTTGCACATAAACATTAAAAGATCATGTAAGGTTATTTTAGTAATGGGTGAGATATTTGTTAATAATTCTATATTCTTATTATTCGGTTTAAGTTGTATTCTGTAAGGTTAGGTCATCTTTACGTTTCGCATAAACATTAACAGATCATGTAAGATTATTTTAGTAATGGGTGAGATATTTATTAATATTTCTATATTCTTATTATTCGGTTTAAGTTGTATTCTGTAAGGTTAGGTCATCTTTACGTTTCGCATAAACATTAAAAGATCATGTAAGATTATTTTAGTAATGGGTGAGATATTTGTTAATAATTCTATATTCTTATTATTCGGTTTAAGTTGTATTCTGTAAGGTTAGGTCATCTTTACGTTTCGCATAAACATTAAAAGATCATGTAAGATTATTTTAGTAATGGGTGAGATATTTATTAATATTTGAATATTCTTATTAATTGGTTTAAGTTGTATTCTGTAAGGTTGTATTGAAGTAAAGCTCATCTTTACGTTTCGAATAAACATTAAAAGATCATGTGAGGTTATTTCAGTTATTGTTTACACATGTAGTATGTGTCTTACCGAAGAGTTATCCTGTTTATCTAAAATACATTGTGCTTAATTGCGCTATATCACGTGTATTACATTTCCAACCAGTTGTAAAGTGTCTTCGTTTCATTGTTAAATGCATTTGGTCATTGTATGATATATTGTAAGATTTATACTGTAACTGTTAATTCATAATTTTCGGAATACTTCAATTGTCTTAGGTTGTACTTTGTTTATGTTTTATTGTGATATGTAAATGACTGTTGAGACACACGGAATAAAGACTGGCCACTAATAGATGCTTCTCTTGGTTGTTTTAAGGTGTGCGGTCCCTTGCTAATTCCCCGACAGCTAATTCTAGGAATTATAATTAGCCTTGACCAAACATTAACCTTTAAAGGTTATTATAGGTCATAAGGTTTATTATAGTTGTATGTAAGGGCTTTGATTTTGTTCCAATGGATGCTGTGGCTGGGGTTGTTACAGATGTGGTCTGATAGCGCTGACTTAGAGTCAAAATTGGAAACTGAGCTTTGATGTTCTTTCATTCGGGTTTTGAGGGGCCTTGATGTTTCACCAATGTAAGATTGTCCACAATTACAGAGAAAGTGGTACACTGCTCCTGATGGTTCTTGCTGTTGACTGGATGGTAATTTCCTGTGGCTTTGATGGTGTTCTGTATGATGTTACTTCTCTTGAAAACTACATCAATGTTGGCCTGTTTCTTTAAGAGTCTCTGGGTTTTCTTGGTGATGCTCCGTATTGTCTGTTGCACTAGCTGTTCGGGGTAGTGGTTGTACCGTGTTTAAACTTGTTTGGGATGATTTAGTTGAGTAGTAAGATGTTGCTTGGTAGAACAGATATTGTGAGCTCGTCCTGTTTAACAATTGACTTTTACAACTAGGGTTCACAAAAAGCTAATGATCAACTGGCTTCTGCTTGAACTATACACAAAGAAAATAAGTTAAGCACCCCCTTTATAATTTACAATGACTGGTTCTACGAGCTTTTTCAATGAAACACCGATAACACAACCTCGGAAAAATGAATGTGGTTTGCAAAAAATGAGAAACATATCCTGTTTTGAGATTTTAGCCATGATTCTATCAAAACCTCAGAGGTATATTTTTAATTTGTGCCAAAGAAAAGTAGCCACAATAAGTATGGTACATGTACATAGGTCGGGTGGCGAGTGGATGGCTGCCAAAATATGGCACAACAACTGTTTGCAGGTATTTTCCTATCACAATTGAGGTTTCCATGGATGGTGACAAAATCCAGCACGCGGTTGCAGGTCTTAGGTTTCTGGGTGTGTAGGTCGTATCATCTTCACGAGGCAAGAGAGTTAACTGACTTTAAAAGTCGAGTTTCCACCCTAGTTCGGCAAGGGTCGAAACTGGACTTTTATAGTCAGTTAACTCACTTGCCTCAGGAAGATAAGGCCATATCTGTATGCCTCCAAACCTATATTGGCAACCCGTGGCGTGGAGCAGGAACCTGCTCACATCGGACCAATGGACTCTTCGCCGAGTCCTCAGATCCGAAGCTCTCCTGGCCAAACACCATGCTAAACAAATTCTCCGATGATGATCGGCAAGGGAGGGACGCTTGATTACCCTCCTGGACATCATACCCACCGATGTCAGTCGATACCTAACTGTTCTGGTTGACATTCGTCAACCATTGGCTCTTCAGAACAGGAGATGTTGCAAAAGGTTGACGACGTATAAGCCGAAGCAGGGCCATGTCCCTACGCCTTGACGTCATGCGAGGTCTTCCTGACCGTGGGAAGTCCCGTACAACATTGGTTTGGTCGCATTTTCGTACCCTAGTTCACGTCTTGTCAAATGCATATTAACAATACGCCATCTTTGTGCCTCTGATAGCCTTCCTCGTGCCATGTTTACAGATAATGCATCAACAATGCAAGACAGTGACATTAAATACCCACAATTGCCTTGTACAGGTACTGCATATTGAAAAATGCATGGGTGGTATGCAGCATGCGTATGTCGTGATGCGATGTGATGTCACTATCATTTCGACGGAACACAATTCTTGACATATTCATCACGAAATTTGCGAAAGCGGATAATTCAGTATATTTCCTCGGGTTCTTAACTTTTTTCTTGGTATATACATATACCTACCAATCCACATGTGGCACAGTGAATTTTGGGACTAGCGCAGGTCTCAAATGACATATGGCAGCTGAGACAACTGTCCGTGACGTCCTCACTCATTTCCCGGGGAGACCACTTGCCAAGGAATATGTTGGGCATCTGTGAAGGATTCAGAATAGACACAGTTGTTTATTCCCAGCATCAACAGACCCTCAATCTAACACCTCCACTTCCCATAAAATAATGAAGCACTAACAGACGCTCCATCTAACACCTCCACTCCCCATAAAATAATGAAGCACTAACAGACTCTCCATCTAACACCTCCACTCCCCATAAAATAATGAAGCACTAACAGACTCTCAATCTAACACCTCCACTCCCCATAAAATAATGAAGCACTAACAGACTCTCCATCTAACACCTCCACTCCCCATAATATAATGAAGCACCAACAGACTTTCCTTCTAACACCTCCACTCCCCATAAAATAATGAAGCACTAACAGACTCCCTCTAACAGCTCCAATCCCAATAACTACACCTAGCACTTCAACAGTCCCCCGAATTGTAGACAACAATGCCAATGACTGCATGTAGTAGCTACATTCCCTCCAACTATTACAATTGGGCGGTCGGGTAGGCTAGTGGTTAAAACGTTCGCTCGTCACGCCGAAGACCCGGGTTCAATTCCCGACATGGGTACAATGTATGAAGCTCATTTCCGGTGTTCCCTGCCGTGATATTGCTGGTATATTCAGAAAAGCGGCGTAAAACCACACTCACTCTAACTATTACCATCATTGCTTTTGTCTGAATGCAGTACCGCCACTTGTGTACACCATTGTTGTTATTTACATTCACTTGAATGGCAAAATATATCTAACGGAAACTGCTTTATCTATTTAAAGTTGAAAAAAAGAATTATTCTGAAATTAAATAATGCATCTTTCAACAGAGAATAATAAAGACATCTCCTCAACTTAAAGGTCGTGATTCACAATTTAGATGCGTGTTTGTTGGGAGCATAATCCTCACACACGTGTTGCGGAATGTGAACAGCACATAATGATTGTATGGCAATCTGTGCTCTTAACAAACTTTCGTTTAACTCTAAATAACGCTAAGGCAATACCACGGCTTGCTGAAAATCAGCGTCTACGCGCCGTGGGTATGCTGCAGACAGGAGTGGCGCAACACGAAGCTGCCAGACATTTTAATGTTTATCGAAACACAATATCATCTCTTTGGAGACTTTATCTACAACAGGGCAACACTCATTACTTGCCACTTGACAACACGTCAACAAGATCATATTCAATTGGTGCATCTACGGAATTGATACCAAACTGCCACATTAACAGCTAGGACCTAGGTTGAGACCAATAAGCGGCAGAACCCAACCGGTTGAAGGAGCAAAACTTCCGGCCCCGACGTCCAGCGATACGCCCTTTCTGCTTCCATGTCAACGTCAAGCACGCCTGGCTTGGTGTAGACAGCATCTGTTGTTCAGAAGACAGACACTGGGACAGTATACTGTTCTCGTATGATTCCAGGTTTTCATCTGGTCAGCTCTAATGGTCGTGCAAGTGTCTACAGGCGTCCAGGATGTTTTGGCGACGATTGCTTCACGCAACGTTGTCAATTTGGGGAGGAAGTGTAATGGTATGGGAAGGCTCATGGGCGAACACAAGTAATTATTTTAATTGCAATTTTAATGGTGAACTCTCCCGTTACGATATCGTTCGAGATCATGTTCTACCCTTTGTGTAAATGCAGGGACGTCGCGTTGTAGCAGGATAACGCCCGTCCACACGTTGCGCGTGTTCTAACACTTTTTAGGCAGCATAACATTGCTTTACTGTCATGGCCGGCTGTTTCTCTAGACGTCTACCAGTTAAAACATATCTGGGATGAGATAGACGGACACCTACGACAAGACCAGAACCAGCCGGTAACGCCAGCTCATTTGCATTGGGTCAATATTTGGTTGACATTTAGAGCAACATTCCCCAGGCTAATTTGAATCATCTGGTGTCTTATATGTACCGCCGCTGCCTTGCCTATATCAAAGCAAATGGTGGTCACATCCGATATTGTCATTTTAATTGAATTGTCACACCACCCCTCTTTTAGGGCGTGTCGCTCCGTCTCCTGTTACCAGGTATGGGGTTCGTCCATATATTTGTGATGATAAAACATTGATCAGACGAATGACCAAATATTGTGTTGCTATTTTCAATAACATAACATTAAACACCATTTTATATGAAGCACATTTACATTTTACATTCTGAGAACAATGAATCAAGCCTACCCTGCTGTATGTATACGTATCTTCGTAATTGCCATACCGATTTGTCACTGAAGTAGTAAGTGCCACCTCTGCCCTCCTCTGCATTGCCTTGTCCACCAACTTCTGAATTTCCTGCATCAGCGACATTGAAAGTGAAACTAAAACAATGTTTGTAACATGATGTCAACAGCAGCAGCTAAAACGTAACTTCCTTGACATTTTGCCTGAAGCAAGCACAAATGTATGGGAAATGTTATAACATGCGCTCATAAGCACGACCAGCTAGGCCATGGTACAATGATTGGAACTAACAACAATGGATTGATAACAGGATTTAATAATAAAAAAATACAACTGTTGTCAAAACCTCAGTCGGCTGAAAACAGTGCAAACGTAAGGTCCCAAACACAACTATCATAACCGTACCAAATACATTGAATAACCATAATTCCTTCGAATACCCTACGTTTTATTACATCATAGCCATAAATTCCCTATTTGGGCTATCATCACACTATAAAATCCTTTAGGTTTTCAACAGACGTCCTGTTCACTGTCAGCTATTTACCATAGTCTTGGGGTACCCCTTACACTTCCTGTTTTTTTGCGTAAGCGCGGGACGGGAATACCTCATTTCTTTCTTCTGTGTGCTGAAGGAAACATCAACATTTTTTATTATGTTCCAACACATTTTTTGTTTGCGTAATCACACTGCAACTTCGAAGATCATATATCAAGACTGACAGAGGCACTGACACTAGCAGTACCTACACGGGGAGTATAGAAGATCGACAGCTCATGTAGTGAGTTGAGCGTATTATGGGGAACGAAATCTCCCCCACCATCGTCGTCTGGAGTTTGCGCGGGGTGCGGTCTCGATCAAGTCATCGAGGACCGTCATCCTATGTGCAATAAGTGCAGCCATATCGAGTGCACTCCTGGAGTGAGATGTTCATTTGGCACCCAACTCCAGGTTGCATGGAACTTCTCCAAATCAAAGTTGTCAAAGGAGACCAGATCGTCAACTAATTCATCGTCTACTAAATCACAGTTTAACCTGATCAGTGATGATGGAGTGTCGCTCGATTCGGCACAGCCACCGACAGGTACTGCGGCAACAAGAAGATGACACAAGGGCCTCTGTCTCACCCGATCCCTACTCTTTCTTCTAACCCAGATCAATTCTCCAAATCCATGCAGGCGTCCAACACCACGTTTATGACAGCTGTTTGACCAACGAATTGCTTCCATGTCGCACGAGATATCGGAACTTAAAACGGTTACCTTTCGGGTAGATAATAGATCTCGTTCATCCCACCAGTCCAAGGGACAAAGACAATGTCATTTGAGGGGATGTCAATGTCCATACCTATACCTTGACAGTTTGAGACATAATGCGAGATCCCGTACGTATGTGTATACTGGCTATAATGTAATAGAGGTAGGGTATTCGAAGGAATTATCAAACAACAGTTAACCATGTGTATAATTCTAAGAAAACTACCTCTATTACATCAGGAAGTAGTCCCCCTCACTCCCTAATTTATCTGCATCCAAGGTGTTGGTTATTGAAAAGAAGTGAGGTATTCCCGTCCCGGCTGCAGTGGCGGCCATATTGAAAATCTGATTCCAACATCTTGAAAAAATAGGGTGTCATCCTGGTGGAAACAATCATGTTAAATTTCAGCTTCATTGGACGCACGACGGAAGACGGACATATGGATAAACATATGAGCAAATAGAAAAGCCATAAACGCTGCCCTCACATTGCTGGTAACAAGGTCTACGACATGTATACCACCTGGAGATAACAAGAATATATGGGACACGTTATCACTATAGCAGATAACGATATAGTCTTGTCATGTTATGATGACCACAGCTAACAGGAATGTCAACTAAAATAATATGGCAGCAAATACTAAAAAGACTTAACATAACAACAGTATTTTAGAACATGAATGTCTGGGGCATACTATATGACAGGAACTGGCAAGAATGTCTAGGGCATAGTGTATGGCAGGAACTTACAAGAGGTCGAGGGCATAATCTATGACAGGAGCAAGAATATCTAGGACACAGTAGATGGCATACGGTAACAAGAATGGCTACGACACAGTAAAAAGCATACGGTAACAAGAATGTCTAGGACACAGGAAATGGCATACGGTAAGAAGAATGTCTAGGACACAGTAAATGGCACACGGTAACAAGAATGTCTAGGACACAGTCAACGGCACACGGTAACAAGAATGTCTAGGACACAGGAAATGGCATACGGTAACAAGAATATCAAGGAGACTGTGTGACCGCATGTAACAATAATGTCAAGGACGTAAATAATAACGATTGGAGATAACAATAATGTGTGAGACAAGGTATAATGACTGAAGACGAATAGCTGTGACATGTTTCTATGGCAGGAGCTAACAAGAATAATTCGAACATGGTATAATGTCAAGAAATAAATAAGAATGTCTTCGACATGATAAAATGACAACAGCTTAGATGAAATGTGGCGACAGGAGCTGCAAGGAATGTTTAACTGACATATTGTGATTGGTTTGATCAGCAAGACCAACCATACATCCTACTTAATCCTGCACCATCCTGCTCTGATGATGCTACATATGCGGGAGTTTCAATTGTTTACTGACCTGACCCCAGCACACCCTCTTGCCGTCTTGGTCCCTGAAGAGCAAGACACTACATGGGGTTACAGGGTTAAACACTTCCTCTCAGTATATGTCAGTCACCGTGGATGCGCACTGCAGATCATTACAAGCCGGAAGATAAGTATTATACATACTTTAGAATATTGGTAGTGTGTGTCAGAAGACAGCACTAGGTAACCACATATACACACTGTAGTTGCTCCAAAGGTAACAATGCGTGCACGCTGCAGTTCATGGTGTATCCCATAGAAGCCACCTATGTACATCGTAGTTCAGTGTTAGTCGGTAGGTAAGAATATATGTACATCGTAGTTCAGTGTTAGTCGGCAGGTAGCAGTGAGTGAGTGAGTGAGTGAGTTGGGTTTAAAAGTAACTGTTATAACGCGGCATGTCAGCTTAATGTTGGAGGAAAGCCCGAAGTGGTGCAGGTCTCAGACGTTTATCACTTCGGTGAAACCCACTAGCACGGGTAGGGTGCTGACAAACCTAGAAACATAATCGGGGCGAACCGGGATACGAACCCACAATCATAGGTTTCTGGCGTGCCCAGGGGACGCAACTCTGCACAGCGAATCGCGGCGCCTTAGACGACTGGGTCCCCCGTGCCCCCCGGTAGGTAACAATATATGTACATTGCAGTTCGGTGTTAGTCGGGTGGTAACACTATATTTGCATTTCAATGCAGGCAAGTAGTCAATTTTGCAACTATACGCAAAACTATATTTTAGTATAACTGGGGGTAGAGCAAACTTTATTTCTTCTTGCGAATAGAGTCTGCCCGGAGAGCAGAAGGTCGGTGGTTCGATCCCACAAAACATAAGACCAAAAGATGCTAAAAGTTGGTACTTGTTACCCTGCCTGGCGCTCTGCAATAATGTGTTGAAAAAATGACTGGTCGGTATTCTATGTCTGAGTGGGGTATCCACGTGAAACTGCGGCATGGTATCTATCTCATTGGACTAGCACTATAAAACTGGCATTTATACAAAATAGTACGGGCAGCCCCACACACATTATTGTTAATTCTTGCCATGTATATAGGCACACATTATTGGTCCTTGTTGGTCAGAAGGTAAGTATATCGGCACATTATTGATCCTTGTTGATCAGAAGGTAAGTATATAGACACACATTATTGATCCTTGTTGGTCAGAAGGTAAGTATATAGACACACATTATTGTTCATTGTTGGTCAGTAGGTAAGTATATCGGCACATTATTGATCCTTGTTGGTCAGAAGGTAAGTATATAGACACACTTTATTGATCCTTGTTGGTCAGAAGGTAAGTATGAGACACACATTATTGATCCTTGTTGGTCAGAACGTAAGTATATAGACACATTATTGTTCATTGTTGGTCAGAAGGTAAGTATATAGACACATTATTGTTCATTGTTGGTCAGAAGGTAAGTATATAGACACATTATTATTCATTGTTGGTCAGAAGGTAAGTATATAGACACATTATTGTTCATTGTTGGTCAGAAGGTAAGTATATAGACACATTATTGTTCATTGTTGGTCAGAAGGTAAGTATATAGACACACATTATTGATCCTTGTTGGTCAGAAGGTAAGTATATAGGCACACATTATTGATCCTTGTTGGTCAGAAGGTAAGTATATAGACACACATTATTGATCCTTGCTGGTCAGAAGGTAAGTAAATAGACACACATTATTGATCCTTGTTGGTCAGTAGGTAAGTATATAGACACACATTATTGATCCTTGTTGGTCAGTAGGTAAGTATATAGACACACATTATTGATCCTTGTTGGTCAGAAGGTAAGTAAATAGACACACATTATTGTTTATTGTTGGTCAGTAGGTAAGTATATAGACACACATTATTGATCCTTGTTGGTCAGTAGGTAAGTATATAGACACACATTATTGATCCTTGTTGGTCAGAAGGTAAGTATATAGACACACATTATTGATCCTTGTTGGTCAGAAGGTAAGTATATAGACACATTATTGTTCATTGTTGGTCAGAAGGTAAGTATATAGACACACATTATTGATCCTTGTTGGTCAGAAGGTAAGTATAAAGACATACAATATTGTTCATTGTCGGCAAGTATATAGACACACTATTGTTCATTGTGGCAAGTATGTAGACACATTATTGTTCATTTTTGGCAAGAATTTAGACACATTATCGTTCATTGTTTCTAAGTAGATAGCTATATAGATACATTATTGTTTATATGACACATTGTTTATTGTTGGCAAGTTAATAGACATATATTATTGTTTATTGTTGGCAAATATATAGACACATTATTGTTCATTGTTTGCAAGTAGATAAGTATATGGACACATTATTGTTCATTGTTGGTAAGTAAATAAGTATGTAGACACATTATTGTTCATTGCTGGCAAGTATATAGACATATTATTGTTTATTGTTTGCAAGTAGATAAGCATATAGACACATTATTGTTCAGTCTTAGTCAGTAGGTCAGAAAATAGACATACATTATTGTTCATAGAGTAAGTAAGTATATAGAGACATTATTGTTTATTGGTGGTTAGTAGATAAGTATGTTGACATATTGTTTATTGTTGGCAAGTGTATAGACACATAATGGTTCATAGTTGGTCAGTAGGTCGGGAAATAGGTGAGGTGAGATGGGGTTTAACGTCATATAGCGACGTGCTTGTACGTGTGTGTGTTTGTGTGGCTGCTTGTACTTGTCCGGACTGATGCCGATATATAGCGCTAGCTCCCTGAGATACCAAGCCGCAGTTTAACATGAATACCCCACTCAGACACAGTATACTGACTCCGAGCCGACCAGTCCTTGTTTTAACCCCTTAATGTCGAGCGCCAGACAGGGTAACAACAAGTCCCATCTTTGGTATGACGCGGTCAGGGATCGAACCCCGGACTTCCGCTCTCCGGGCGGACGCTCTACCACTAGGTCAGGAAATAGACATACGTTATTTTTCATTGTTGGTAAATATATAGAGACCTTATTGTGTATTGTTGGTTAGTAGGTAAGTATACAGACACATTATTATTCAATGTAGGTAAGTATATTCATTGTTGGCAAGTATATAGACATACATTATTATTCATTGTTGGCAAGCATATAGACACACTATCATTCATTGTTGGTAAGTAGATAAGTATGTAGACACATTGTTGTCCATTGTGGGTAAATATAGAGATACATTATGGTTGATTGTTGATAAGCAAATAGACACATTATCATTTATTGTTGTTCAGTAGGTAAGTATATTGACACACATTGTTGTTCATTGTTAGTAAGTATATAGACACATTATTGTTCATTGTTGGTCAGTAGGTAAGTATATTGACACACATTATTGTTCATTGTTAGTAAGTATGTAGATACATTATTGTTCATTGTTGGTCAGTAGGTAAGTATATTGACACACATTATTGTTCATTGTTAGTAAGTATATAGATACATTATTGTTCATTGTTGGTCAGTAGGTAAGTATATTGACACACATTATTGTTCATTGTTAGTAAGTATATAGATACATTATTGTTCATTGTTGGTCAGTAGATAAGTATATTGACACACATTATTATTCATTGTTAGTAAGTATATAGATACATTATTGTTCATTGTTGGTCAGTAGGTAAGTATATTGACACACATTATTGTTCATTGTTAGTAAGTATATAGATACATTATTGTTCATTGTTGGTCAGTAGGTAAGTATATTGACACACATTATTATTCATTGTTAGTAAGTATATAGATACATTAATGTTCATTGTTGGTCAGTAGGTAAGTATATTGACACACATTATTGTTCATTGTTAGTAAGTATATAGATACATTATTGTTCATTGTTGGTCAGTAGGTAAGTATATTGACACACATTATTGTTCATTGTTAGTAAGTATATAGATACATTATTGTTCATTGTTGGTCAGTAGGTAAGTATATTGACACACATTATTATTCATTGTTAGTAAGTATATAGATACATTATTGTTCATTGTTGGTCAGTAGGTAAGTATATTGACACACATTATTGTTCATTGTTAGTAAGTATATAGATACATTATTGTTCATTGTTGGTCAGTAGGTAAGTATATTGACACACATTATTATTCATTGTTAGTAAGTATATAGATACATTAATGTTCATTGTTGGTCAGTAGGTAAGTATATTGACACACATTATTGTTCATTGTAAGTAAGTATATAGACACATTAATGCTCATTGTTGGTCAGTAGGTGAGAATCTTCTCCCATAATGTTTGAGAGTACATACAGTTAGTAACTCACATCAACACACGTGTATTTTGAACATACTACTGAACAAAGTGTACGTTTAATATTTACACAATAAATAGCTTCACTGTTACAGAAAGATAACTGACTGCAAGTTCCACGAACGTACCTCTGTGACAACGATATTGATAAGGTTTACCCAGTTAAAAAGACTCGTGGCTTCCACAATACTAAATATACTTAAGAAATAAAGATGCTCTACCCCCATGTGTAATGTAATAAAGAATAGTTTTGCCCCGTACTTTTTAGTTAACGCACGAGTACAATGGCTGGCCGTGTTGCTGAGCTACGGATGAACGAGGATAATGTGCTGAACATGTTTCTGATATGAGGTGAACGAGAATACGTTGCTAAGCATGTGTCTAGCTATCATTAAGTGTGGATAATGTGCTGAGCATGTGTCTAGCTATCATTGAGTGTGGATAATGTGCTGAGCGTGTGTCTAGCTATCATTGAGTGTGGATAATGTGCTGAGCATGTGTCTAGCTATCATTGAGTGTGGATAATGTGCTGAGCGTGTGTCTAGCTATCATTGAGTGTGGATAATGTGCTGAGAATGTGTCTAGCTATCATTGAGTGTGGATAATGTGCTGAGCGTGTGTCTAGCTATCATTGAGTGTGGATAATGTGCTGAGCGTGTGTCTAGCTATCATTGAGTGTGGATTATGTGCTGAGCATGTGTCTAGCTATCATTGAGTGTGGATAATGTGCTGAGCGTGTGTCTAGCTATCATTGAGTGTGGATAATGTGTTGAGCGTGTGTCTAGCTATCACTGAGTGTGGATAATGTGCTGAGCATGTGTCTAGCTATCATTGAGTGTTGATACTGTGCTGAGCGTGTGTCTAGCTATCATTGAGTGTGCATAATGTGTTGAGCGTGTGTCTAGCTATCATTGAGTGGGGATAACGTGCTGAGCGTGTGTCTAGCTATCATTGAGTGTGGATAATGTGCTGAGCATGTGTCTAGCTATCATTGAGTGTTTATAATGTGTTGAGCGTGTGTCTAGCTTTTATTGAGTGTGGATAATGTGCTGAGCGTGTGTCTAGATATCATTGAGTGTGGATAATGTGTTGAGCGTGTGTCTAGCTATCATTGAGTGTGCATAATGTGTTGAGCGTGTGTCTAGCTATCCCTGAATGTGGATAATGTGCTGAGCGTGTGTCTAGCTATCATTGAGTGTGCATAATGTGTTGAGCGTGTGTCTAGCTATCATTGAGTGTGGATAATGTGTTGAGCGTGTGTCTAGCTATCATTGAGTGTGCATAATGTGTTGAGTGTGTGTCTAGCTATCATTGAGTGTGGATAATGTGCTGAGCGTGTGTCTAGCTATCATTGAGTGTGGATAATGTGCTGAGCATGTGTCTAGCTATCATTGAGTGTGGATAATGTGCTGAGCGTGTGTCTAGCTATCACTGAGTGTGGATAATGTGTTGAACGTGTGTCTAGCTATCATTGAGTGTGCATAATGTGTTGAGCGTGTGTCTAGCTATAATTGAGTGTGGATAATGTGCTGAGCGTGTGTCTAGCTATCATTGAGTGTGGATAATGTGCTGAGCGTGTGTCTAGCTATCACTGAGTGTGCATAATGTGTTGAGCGTGTGTCTAGCTATCATTGAGTGTGGATAATGTGCTGAGCGTGTGTCTAGCTATCATTGAGTGTGGATAATGTGCTGAGCATGTGTCTAGCTATCATTGAGTGTGGATAATGTGCTGAGCGTGTGTCTAGCTATCATTGAGTGTGGATAATGTGTTGAGCGTGTGTCTAGCTATCACTGAGTGTGGATAATGTGCAGAGCATGTGTCTAGCTATCATTGAGTGTTGATACTGTGCTGAGCGTGTGTCTAGCTATCATTGAGTGTGCATAATGTGTTGAGCGTGTGTCTAGCTATCATTGAGTGTGGATAACGTGCTGAGCGTGTGTCTAGTTATCATTGAGTGTGGATAATGTGCTGAGCATGTGTCTAGCTATCATTGAGTGTTTATAATGTGTTGAGCGTGTGTCTAGCTTTTATTGAGTGTGGATAATGTGCTGAGCGTGTGTCTAGATATCATTGAGTGTGGATAATGTGTTGAGCGTGTGTCTAGCTATCATTGAGTGTGCATAATGTGTTGAGCGTGTGTCTAGCTATCCCTGAATGTGGATAATGTGCTGAGCGTGTGTCTAGCTATCATTGAGTGTGCATAATGTGTTGAGCGTGTGTCTAGCTATCATTGAGTGTGGATAATGTGTTGAGCGTGTGTCTAGCTATCATTGAGTGTGCATAATGTGTTGAGTGTGTGTCTAGCTATCATTGAGTGTGGATAATGTGCTGAGCGTGTGTCTAGCTATCATTGAGTGTGGATAATGTGCTGAGCATGTGTCTAGCTATCATTGAGTGTGGATAATGTGCTGAGCGTGTGTCTAGCTATCACTGAGTGTGGATAATGTGTTGAACGTGTGTCTAGCTATCATTGAGTGTGCATAATGTGTTGAGCGTGTGTCTAGCTATAATTGAGTGTGGATAATGTGCTGAGCGTGTGTCTAGCTATCATTGAGTGTGGATAATGTGCTGAGCGTGTGTCTAGCTATCACTGAGTGTGCATAATGTGTTGAGCGTGTGTCTAGCTATCATTGAGTGTGGATAATGTGCTGAGCGTGTGTCTAGCTATCATTGAGTGTGGATAATGTGCTGAGCGTGTGTCTAGCTATCATTGAGTGTGGATAATGTGCTGAGCGTGTGTCTAGCTATCACTGAGTGTGGATAATGTGATGAGCGTGTGTTTAGCTATCATTGAGTGTGGATAATGTGCTGAGCATGTGTCTAGCTATCACTGAGTGTGGATAATGTGCTGAACGTGTGTCTAGCAATCATTGAGTGTGGATAATATGCTGAGCGTGTGTCTAGCTATCATTGAGTGTGGATAATGTGCTGAGCGTGTGTCTAGCTATCACTGAGTGTGGATAATGTGTTGAGCGTGTGTCTAGCTATTATTGAGTGTGGATAATGTCTTGAGCGTGTGTCTAGCTATCATTGAGTGTGCATAATGTGCTGAGCATGTGTCTAGCTATCATTGAGTGTGCTTTATGTGTTGAGCGTGTGTCTAGCTATCATTGAGTGTGGATAATGTGCTGAGCGTGTGTCTAGCTATCATTGAGTGTGGATAATGTGCTGAGCGTGTGTCTAGCTATCATTGAGTGTGCATAATGTGCTGAGCGTGTGTCTAGCTATCACTGAGTGTGGATAATGTGCTGAGCGTGTGTCTAGCTATCACTGAGTGTGGATAATGTGCTGAGCGTGTGTCTAGCTATCATTGAGTGTGGATAATGTGCTGAGCGTGTGTCTAGCTATCACTGAGTGTGGATAATGTGCTGAGCGTGTGTCTAGCTATCATTGAGTGTGGATAATGTGTTGAGCGTGTGTCTAGCTATCATTGAGTGTGGATAATGTGTTGAGCGTGTGTCTAGCTATCATTGAGTGTGGATAATGTGATGAGCGTGTTTCTAAATTTTAGTTAGCGCTGATACGGTTCGAGATGTTTCTAGATATAACAGTGAGAAATCACATACCTTTCATTGAACTGGAAGGCGTTATCTTTGCTCAGGATGACAAATAGCTGTCTATTGTCTCCTTGTCCTTGTCGCACCTGAAACACCAGGACTGAAGCAAGTTGGAGCTTACACTATTGGAGTTGGGAGCGATGTATTTCACATTAGATCTGTTGTGTAAAGTTACATATATTTGTATTCAAGTGTAGGCACCCAGGGGATTAGTTGTCCAATATGCATGAATCAATAACGTAGGTACAAGACTTCTTCGAAAGTTCGAATATACAGAATTAAAGGAATTGAACAGTGCTGATCGAAGGTATGATTTAGGTAAATGTATTCTGAAGAGTGTATATTATACTAATATTCTTTGCTTCGGTTTAAAAGAAGTAAGCCAATCACAACTTTTCTCATTTTAAAAACGGTTCTTCTCAGTTGACACACACCAGTGTGCCTAAACAAAACTTGTGCTTATGTCTTTTTTTGTTTTTTCAAAATTGAACGCTGAGGTATACCCAGAAAACGGTATGCTCAGAACTAAATTGTGAAATCGGGAAATCGGTAAATGACACAAATTCAATGTTTTGCAAACGGCATCGATCATTGACAATTTCGGCAATGAATAATCAATAAATCATATTTAAACTGAAAGAAAACACCACCAGTACTAATGTGACTTGCATCACCTGCCAGTTAAAATGTTTTCGAAACATCTGGTGCTCCCAAGACTGGAGAATTCATGGGTATAGCGTTACTCCCTCAAACGCTGCCGGACTGTTATCCCAAACACATTAGCGAGAGTACCAATACATAAGAGAATGTTTGCCAACCAGTTTTGTTTGTTTGTTTATTGTTGTTTAACGCCGCACTCAGCAATGGTCCAGCTTTTTGACGGCGGTCTGTAAATAATCGAGTCTGGACCAGACAATCCAGTGACTGACATCATAAACATCGATCCACGCAATTGGGAGACGATGACATGCATCATCCAAGTCGGCGACTCTGACCACCCGATCCCGTTAGTCGCCTCTTACGACAAGCATAGTCACCTTTTACGGCAGGCAAGACCTATTCTACCCCGGATCTTCACGGGTCTTGACAACCAGTAACCAGCCATACCCAGAAATCAAGTTCCTTGTAGGCCTGAAGTAACGTCACTGATCAGGCGTTGAAAGGTAGCAGGTGTATGTTTTACTCCAAATGGCAAAACTTTGTACTGATAAAGACCATCGGTGGTAGTAAAAGCTTTTGTGCACGCTCATTGGGATCTGGTAATTTCATGTTTAACATCAAGTTTTATCCCCCAAATCATCATTCTTCACATGCTCACCGGTAAATTCAGAATTGCACATGTCTGATACAGATTCAAGTGGAGTGACATTAGCAATACCTTTGGTGTCACATTTGTCAGGATATTGCTTTATCATACACAAAGTACACAGTCGTTTCGTTTACAACGGCCTGGAGTTTTCACAATAAAGGCAGACCTTTTCATCAATCATATAAGGACCATGGTATCTAGCTTTCGAAGGGTGACCAGGTAACATCCCCAAAACTCTATTGCCAGTATAGAAATTTCAAAATCTGTTGTGTAATAGCTGGCTTTCATTTTGTCCTGTGGTAACTACAGACTTTCGCTAGCAACTGCAGGAGCCCTTAGAAGTCTATTTCAGAGTGAGTGAGTGAGTGAGTGAGGTTTTACGCCGCTTTTAGCAATATTCCAGCAATATCACGGCGGGGGACACCAGAAATGGGCTTCACACATTGTACCCATGTCGGGAATCGAACCCGGGTCTTCGGCGTGACGAGCGAACGCTTTAACCACTAGGCTACCCGACCGCCTCCTATTTCAGAAGGTAGACACACAATACAGGGTACAGGGTTAGCTCCCGGAAAGTCAGCAGTACTGCTCTCAGTTGAAAAAAGGTATCCCGAAGCGAATGATCGATGATAGTACCCACAAGATTATAAGTATCATCAATCTCTATCGACATCTTCTGGGATAACTTGTTAGCCATAGAACGAGGTTACAGCACATGAAGGAAAATATAGCTGGGATTTCTTCCTGAAGTGAGTCAGTGCCAACACACATCTGCCCAAACTTTGTCATTACCGACAAACAACTCGATGCCTGAAACAGGGAGACTTTTGAAACCTTTTACAAAACTTGACACCAAATCTAACTGCAAATCAACGCGCGCCAGTATCTACATGTATGTTTACAAATGTAGAATTTTCAGCAAATTGAATTCGGATCCCGGTGTTGCAGGATTTAATCATTCCCCTTAAATTTCATTCGAGAGGGATTCTGTCCTAGGATAGAATCACTCTAGAGTGACCTGATCCTAGAACTGAGCTTTCAAGTGATGACTTTTTTTTGTATTTAATCTTGATGTATAAATGAAGTGTTTAAACTGTAAATATAGCCAATTTAAAGGTTTGGATAAGTGATTCATTAGGTAGAGCGCTGCTAACCGCCAAGGCAGAAGGCAGAAGGTATGAGGAGGGTGTTTTCATCCTGCAAAGGGGGAGTGTCAGGATCCTAAGCGGAGTGACTTTCTTCCAGGATAAGATCATGTTTGAGTGATTTGATCCTGGAAGGTGACCTGACCCTCCTACAACGGACGAGCCCCCAATCTTTGTTACGAGGTGGTTTCCAAGAAATCGGTATGCACAGAACTAAATTCTGAAATCAGTAAATGACCACACAAGATCAATGAATAATAAACAACATATATCTAAACAAGCAGTGTTAGTTTTACAATACAAAAGACAATATAATGGGTCGAAAGAGTGACATCAGCAATAGGTAACATGCCCTAGAACTAATGTTAATGAATATCTTAAAAGAAGTCTGTCCCCGTTCTTCGATCCAGAATTGTGTTAGAAGTTGGCAGGACCTCGATGTGTCCATGTAGGTATCCAGCTGCACTTGGCAAGTAGATTAGAAACAAGTCAGGTCGAAAATGCGTCAAATCGCCCTCTTGCCCCCATAAAGGTTCCTACAGCCTCTTAGAAACTGTCCCACCCAGAAACGTACAGAACGATCAAGCTTGCTATCTTCATGAAACCAATTCCTGTCAAATCTGAACACAATAACACTTGCCAGTTTTCAACTTGTAGTTCAATCATTTGCTGCAACTGACTTTACAGTTCGAGTAACGTTGTTGATATTCACGTCACAATGTTACTGTTTTACAATCGGCGTGATGTCGCATTGTTATGACGCCAACTTAGCGGAAATTAACCTTTGTAGTTTGAAGTGTAACTTGTTACTGTATGGACAGGGTGTTCTCGTAAAATATTCTTCCTTAATTTTACACATTGTAAAGTCTACAACTGCCATGGGATTGGGAATAAGTTCTATAACTTAGAATCGCATCCTCGCTTGTTATTTACAATTGTACAGATTTTGATACTTCTGGACAAACCTGATATTATGGTTCAACACGTCATGTATGACAATTCAGCTTAAATCTTCAGGTTGGTTGGTTGGTTTGTTGTTTAACGCCGCACTCAGCAATATTCCAGCTATATGACGGCGGTCTGTAAATAATCGAGTCTGGACCAGACAATCCAGTGATTAATGTCATGAGCATCGATCCACGCAATTGGGATCGATGACATGCATCAACCAAGTCAGCGAGCCAGACCACCCGATCCCGTTAGTCGCCTTTTACGACCAGCATAGTCACCTTTTACGGCAAGCATGGGTTGCTGAAGACCTATTCTACCCCGGAATCTTCACGGGTCTAAATCTTCAGGACAAGGAGATGGAAAAGTTTGTAAAAGACGACAACTGACGACAATGGACGTGTAACAACTTGCCACGAAACTTCGGGTCAGTAAAACACAGTAGCAGGTGATACGTAACACTAGTGGCCGTCATTTCTATAACGTGTTCATATATAACTATTATGTATCTGAGAAGGACATAAACTTACCTGAATATCATTTATCATCAACTCTTCACGAAGTGTAAATTTGCCTTGCTTTGTGGTATCACACATAAGAAGTACATCTGTAAACTACAAAGCAGGGATAGTCATGATACATTGATATGGCTGATCATGTTCCTCATGTGTAAACTACGAAGCACAGATAGTCATGGTATATTAATATAACAAGTAGAGATTGCTGCAGAGCATCAATTGCTCCCCGCAATATAATGTTATGTGCAGAGGAAGAAAGTGTAAGCTATGGGAGGAGAGAATTGGTGTAAAGTACAAATTGGTTTTTATTAATGTAGTTTTCTTTGAAAAGCACAATAAAAGAAACAGTGTCTTTAAATGGTCAGTACAAGGAAAACCCAGGCAAGAGTGAGTGAGTGAGTGATCATGAGTTGGGTTTAACGCCGCTTTTAACAGTATTCCAGTTATATCGCGGCATGTCAGCTTAATGTGGGAGGAAAGCCCGAAGTGATGCAGGTCACAGACGTTTACCACTTCGGTGAAACCCACGAGCACGGGTATGGTGCTGACAAACCTAGAAACATAATCGGGGCGAACCGGGATTCGAACCGACAATCATAGGTTTCTGGCGTGCCCAAGGGACGCAACTCTGCACGGCGAATCGCGGCGCCTTAGACGACTGGGCCACCCGTGCCCCCATCCAGGAAAGAAAACCGGGCCTGTCAGGCAGAACTTGATATATACCCTATATTAGTACCAATATACAAAAAAAATAATTGATTACAAGTCCTGTATAGATAACACAACAAATATCATTCTTAAACATGCCTTTGCAGCAAATATCAATATTTCTGGTGAAAATGTTGGTTGGGTTCAATAAAACAAACTTTTTAAACAGTAAACACACACACAAAATGTAATGAATCCAGTGTAAATAAACTTCAATTCAAATGTAAATATTCACGCAATTATTAAGGGATTCCAATTTATCTAACAGCAAGTAAAGAACACATAGTTTGGTCAAGTCATCTATAAATATTGAGAATTATCTTACATATTATAAAAACAAAGGTCATAGGTCACTTTTCTCAAAACTTCGTTAAGTAATCGCAAACTAAAAATTGAAAAATTGGTAGATATACAAAAACACCAATCCCATTGGAACAACGTCTCTGTGAAACATGTGATGTCTCAGAAGATGAGCAACATTACGCACTGTCTTGTATAAAATACAACCAAGTCACAAATAATGCTCAATCATGATATAGAATTTGGTACACTCTGTTAAAAGGAGCAGTTCTTAAAAATTTTACCAACAGTTATCCAGAAACAACTTCCAAGATCTGTTATCATATCAACAATTACAAACAAATTCCTTGTGTGTAAAACATTACCATAGTTTTGCTCAATTCTCGAATTGTTTCCATATCATTATAATACGTTGTTTTGAAATAAAATTGTTATAATGTACCTCCTTTGTATGTTGAATCTACCTGTGTTTTTAAATTGTCGTTTATTGTGCATGTATTTTGTAGTTTGTGACAGTGTTATATTGCCACTGTTTCTGCATGGAATGTTCCGCAATACATATCTCATCTAAAACATCTTTGTTGTATGATAGTTTGTTACAGTTGTGTACGGGGGCATGGTTGGCCCAGTCGCCTAAGGCGCTGCAATTCGCTATGCAGACTTGTGTCCCTTGGGCACGTCAGAAACCTATGACAGTGTGTTTGAATCCCGGTTCGCCCCGATTTTGTTGTCAGCACAAAACCCTTGCTCGTTTGTTTCACCAAAGTGTTGAATGTCTAAGACCTGCATCACTTCGGGGTTTCCTACTACATCAAGCTGACACGGAGTACTATTCAACGGCGTTAAACCCAACTCCCTCACTCACTCTTGTGTATGTTCCGTTTGGTTAACTTGGTTTGTGTTGTGATTGCTGCCAGTTTTGATTTGAAGTATGTTTAGAAGAATGTTACTATGTTCAACCCAAACATCGTGAAGATATCATGCAACCGTATTATCTTTTAGGAAAATAATTGCAAACTACAAACCAACCTGTTGATTTCCTATGTATCCAGAAGCAAAGAACATATACGGGTGTATAATCTCTGCCGGAAGTTAAAAAAACCTGTCAAAGCAATAAACCCATGCAGAACCGTAAACCGCAGCATGAAACGGTATGAATCATACATTACATACCGTGAACTATTTGAAACAATACTGTGCTCAACTCTGCCAAGCAAGGGTCATTCATGTGATTGTGAAGACAACTAATTCCAAATTCCTCATACCAAACCCGTTGTTTTACATGTGTTGTTTATTGAACAAAGTCATACTTTATTATGGTGGCCGAGAGGGTACATCGCTTTCTCGCTTTCTCGCGGTATAGCAATATTCCCTCTTTGCAACTATATGGGTTTCTTTACGATAAAAAGTATATACGTGAAACAACATTAATGAATTGTTAAACCTGACCTCAGTGGGGGGAGGGGTTTTAATCAGAGTTGAGATTTTTCCAGTCACATTACATATTATACATATGGACAGAATGTTGAAATTTACTCACTAACTACTTAAACATAATTTAAGAGTACAGACATGGGTGCTTTTATAACAATCCACAAATTTGATTGATTTATGGCCCTATTTAGGAGTTTTATTGGATCCCCCGCCCCCAGGCCAAGTTACCAAAACAAATAGCAAATAACACCGCGCATTAGCGCTGAGTAGTACGTACTTCCTAAAAAACCAATAGTTTTTTCCTAAAAAACACGCTTATATCGATGTTTATTCTGTTTGCGGAGTAGATGTCATCATAGTGGAAGTCCTCACCCAAGCAATGGTAATACTACCGGATGTCCATATGTAATTTCTAGTTTTTGGATGACATATTGTTTTCAGTAACCGTAATGTGGAAATAGATAGTTGATTGGTTTTATATTCAAGTTGGGATTTCCGCTATTCAAAGTGCGCAGTGAGGCCGTATTATCAACAGTAGTTTCTGTGACATAAATGCAAAGTATAATTAATTAAGTCTACTCTCATTTTTTGCATTAATAATAAACTCTAACGTTAATATTCAAGATTTACAGTACACACTATTCAAAAGAAGTTAAAGAACACCCGATGCTTTCATATGACTATGGTTAGTCATTAGAAAAAGCGACAGAGCGAGAAAGCGATAAAGCGATAGAGCGATAGAGCGAGAACGCGATAGAGCGATAGAGCGATAAAGCGATAGAACGAGAAAGCGATAAAGCGAGAAAGCGATAGGGCGAGAACGCGAGAAAGCGATAAAGCGATAGAGCGAGAACGCGAGAAAGCGATATTTCCCATTATGCCGTACATTAAAACGGTTTTTGCTGATATTTAGTGATCCATTCCTGTAATTCTCACCGCTATTTTGCCTCTTATGATAAGATATTTTAAACATCTTGTAGTAGATAAATATGTTACAAATGCACACAAAAAATTTTCTCGTTTAGCTTGTATATTTTCTTGTAGTGTAGTAAATATGCAAGATTCACAGAATACAGATAGTCACTGTTCATATTTTCATTTTGTTCATAATATCCCTAAAAACAACTCGTTTCTTAAAATAACTTTCGATCAAACTGTCTTCGGGAATTAAATTTAATGCTAAAGTGCTTGTAAAATAAAGTTTAACTTTCCCGCCAGGAGAGACTGGATATCCGATTATAGTATAGGCTCAGGCAGGAATATATACTCTTAAAAAGAAAAGAAACTTGACATAGATGTAAAACCACTTTTTGCCAAATATCTAAAATAATTACATTAAATGAGAACCAAATAAGTCAAACAGAAAGATGATGTGTCTATAATTCGCGAAAACACATGCAAAGCACATAAACGTAGCGTTTGGGGATCAATTTTACAGCTTCATCCAAACGCAACCGTCTGTAAAAAAAGTGCAGCACAGGATCCTCCTTTTAGGCATGCAATATCAATTCAAACGGTACGCAACAGACTGAAGGAGGCTGGACTTTTTGCACGAAGACCTGTTCGACGTCATGTATTGACCCCATGTCATCTGGCGGACCGTCTGCTTTGGTGCCAACAGAGGGTTAGATGGGCACGTGCAAGGTGGAGAAACATACTGTTTACTGACGAGTCCCGTTTCCTACTCACACGTGCTGATGGGCGCGCACGTGTCTACAGACGTCGGGGTGAACGTTACGCCCCCAACTGTGTGCAGCAGGTTGTCCCATTTGGCGGCGGGAGTGTCATGGTATGGGCCGGAATTCATCATGGTGGTAGAACGCCTCTCTTGACAGGTATGCGTTGCAGAGACTTGATCCTACAGCCTTACGTTCTTCCTCACGTCAACGTTTATGGCGGACAGTTCCAGCAGGACAACGCTCGACCGCATATTGCACGTGTTTGTCAGGACTTCTTACAGCACAACAACATCCAGACATTACCTTGGCCAGGCCGGTCACCAGATTTGTCCCCGATTGAGCATCTGTGGGACGAGTTGGATCGACGCGTTCGCAGAAGGAATCCACCGCCCCAAACACTTCCGGCGCTTCTTGATGCACTTCAGCATGAGTGGCAGCACATGCAACAGCGTGTTATTGACAACTTGATTGCATCTATGGGTCGTCGGTGTCAAACGGTGATTGATGCACGTGGTTGGCACAACCGATACTGACATTTTCTGCACCCTTGTGACATTAACTGTATCGTGTACGTGGGTCTGTCTAGGTGACACGATTAATGTTTTGAACATTGTGTACATTGATCTTGAACAGTGTTTCAAATATGGTTTCTGTGTCCTATTTTGAAACAATCGCATTATATTACATTTTGAAAGTCAGTGTCAAGTTCCTTTTTTTCAAGAGTATATATAAACTGACGGGCAAAAGAAACTATACCAACATTGATTTGGTGTTGACAACATTATCAAATATATCACAAAAATATAGTGTTGCGAGTTGGAAAGAAAATTTATCTGACAATGTTCTGATTCAAATTCCACAAAGGTGGCATTTACGGGAACTTCAATATCAGGTAAGGAATGACACAGGGGGTAAATGTCAATTTGCAAAATAAACAAATCATCTGAACGAAAACAGAAAACGCATTTTTTTCACAAATGCATTACTGTCAGTATCTCGTATGGCCTCCATTGCTCTGAATACAGGCATGGACACGTCGCCGCACGGAGTTTATAAGATTCTGATGATGTCAGTGGGGATGGCTCGCCATTCTTCCAACAGTGCCTGAATCAACGTTTGACGACTTGACGGAGGGGGATTTCTTTCCCTTATTTGTCTGTCCAGATAGTCCCAGAAGTGCTCAATGGGTGTTAAGTCAGGCGATCTTACTGGCCATTGCAAAAGGTTTACATTATTTGCAGTTAGGAAGTCTCTGGTGATCCTGGCGGTGTGGGGGCGAGCGTTGTCCTGTTGGAAGATTACTCTGGGATTCCTCTGGAGGAAGGGAAGCACCACAGGACGCAATACACGGTCGATGTAGACGCATTTAAATTACGGTCAAAGACAACCAGGTCTGTTGTACGGTCCCTGCAAATCCCACCCCAGACCATGACGCTTCCACCACCGAATGGCACGGTCTCCTGAACACAACATTGGGCTGTTCTCTCTCCTCTCCGACGATACACACGCACACGGACATCAGCTCGATACAACTGGAACCTGCTCTCATCAGAGAATAGAATTCGTTGCCAGTTCCTGTTTTGCCACCGCTGTACCATTCTTGCCCAATGGAGGCGGTTACGTCGGTCACGACGGCCCAAGGTCATCCCGCGAAAGGGCCGGTAGGCCCGAATACTGTGTTGTCGAAGACGCCTGGCAACTGTCCTTCTGCTGACCACATGATGTAAGGCTGTGGCTGCCGATGACGTCACAGTGACGAAACGATTGCGTAGATGTAAGATGCGGAGGTACCGATCTTCATTGGCGGTTGGGACCCTGGGTCTTCCACTTCTTGGCCTGTCACCTGTACGACCTGTTTGTGTGAGTCTTGTCTGCAGCCTCAATTAGTTTATCTATATGTAACAATTCTCTATCCATTTAAACTGTATGGTTAACAACTGTGCGTTCTGATGTGAGTTATGTAGTTATCTACTACATTTTACACAGACAATCGCTCGTCAAGCCGAAGACCCATTTCGATTCCCCACATGGGTACAATGTGTGAAGCCCAATTTCTGGTGTTCCCCGTGATATTACTGGATTATTGTTAAAAGCGACGTGAAACCATTCTCACTCACTCACTCACTCACAGCGGTGTTTATCAAATTACTGTATGCAAGTTCATATATTTATGATTTGGCAATACGCTCTAAATAAATCAGGTTAAAATCTAAATATTTACTTTTCAAAAGAAGTTAAGAAGACTATGGTTAATTAGTCATGGCTGATTGGTTTGCAAAAATACAATCTTATACTTGTGGGTGTTTTATAACTTGTTTTCGGTAGTATATGATGTTACAGTGTGTCATACTGTTATCCGTAAATGTTCTTTTTGACATTTAATGTATGTTTAACTTGAATTGTGTTTCTTGTCTTGTGCAAATCTACAAATATATGTACATGCATATAGTAAACTGATAAACACCGCTGTGAGTTAGTGAGAATGGTTTCACGTCGCTTTTAACAATAATCCAGTAATATCACGGGGAACATCAGAAATGAAATGCATTACTATGATTATCTATAACATATATTAAATCAGCTATCATTGTAATATTTTATGTATATCTTAAGCATAGTTTTGTCAAAATTATGTGTGTGTGTGTGTGTGTGTGTGTGTGTGTGTGTGTGTGTGTGTGTGTGTTTGTGTGTGTGTGTGTGTGTGTCCGACTCATTGTCTGTGTAAAAATGTAGTAGATAACTACATAACTCACATCAGAACGCACAATTGTTAACCACATACAAGCTAAACGAGAAAACATTATTTGTGTATTTTGTAACATATTTATCTACTACAAGATATTTAAAAAATCTAATCATAAGAGGCAAAATAGCGATGAGAATTACAGGAATGGATCACTAAATATCAGCAAAAACCGTTTTAATGTAAGGCATTATGGGAAATATCGCTTTCTCGCGTTCTCGCTCTATCGCTTTTTCTAATGACTAACCATAGTCATATGAAAGAATCAGTGTTCTTTAATTTCTTTTGAATAGTGTGTACTGTAAATCTTGAAATTAACGTTAGAGTAAATTATAAATGCAAAAAATGAGAGTGGAACCTTTCTCGATGGCTGCCTGAATAACATACGACACATTGCAAAGGTAGTGCGCAATAGAGCTGTTCGGGTAAGGGAGGTAACCACTCACACTCAGTGATACAGCTTGAGTAAGATACGATGTACAGCATTATTGCAAGGTCAGTGCGCGATAAAGCTCTGTACTACGCCTATAATAATCGCTCAATGCGCAATAGTTTATTCTTACAAAATATAAACCGGCTAACTTTTGCGAAATGAGATATATATTCCCCTAAACATTTTTAGCTCTTTTAAAAACAAAATGAACAAATTTCACCGGTAATCTGCATTACGAAACGTGACTAAGTCTCAGAATAGCAAGACGATTTTGAAGTATCGCTTATTGCTGGAAAAGATTAGCACCAACATTCCACGTACATGATTTGTATGTTTCGTTTCGGTAAATGCGTGGCTTTAAATTTCAAATAAACCAATATGTCGACATCCCCCCCCCAAAAAAAATTTTTTTTTTTTTTAAATTAACCGTTCCCGTATACTTCGACGCCTTCAGAGCGGGGAAGAATAATTTATCACTTGCCCGTGAAGAGATCATCCGTTTAATAAACATACAGCTGTGTTACACATTGTGTAATACCAAAACGTGTGTTAATATGTACTGCGGGAACAAGTTTCACGAACAAATATTTAAAACTCTCAACATCCCTGGGCTTATTCAACGACATTGCGTATAGAGATGATAGATCACTGAAAGGAGCTTATGCACACTCGATCACCCGAGCAACCCTTTTGCTAGGCTGACGTCACATGGCATTGTTTCGCCGGTGGATCTTGCAACAAAATTTCACAAATTACGTCATAGGATAATGTGACGTAATTGTAAACTTTGAACTTTGGGTCCTAAACGAGCTCCCGTGTATTACCAATTTTATGAAACTCGTGAAAAGTTGTGGTATCTGGCTCGCTTTCGCTCGTCAGATACCAGAACTATTCACTCGTTTCATAAAATTGGTATTGCACAGGAGCTCATTTAGTATTCTATATACATGTACTATGATGATGCACGTGATGTGGAAACTCTGGTGTCAACATCATTAACTAAGATGTACCACACATCTACACTTAGGAGAATACCACGAAGTGGCTTTAATAAGATGTCAACACGTCCAGCCTCCGCGTGTGTAGACTAACCAGGAAGAGATAGCTGGTGTGTGACTGCTCCGTGATTCCATCGATGTAGCTGATCCTGCCCTCTTTCACCAACACGCGTTTCCTCGTGCTGTCCGTGAGTTCACCGTGTATCTTCTGAAATGCTTTAAGCGTGCTCTGAAGATTGTCCTGAAAAATTAAAAATTAGACACAAAAGATTGTACTATGAAACTTTCGCAAGGTAGTGTATGGAATATGGCAACGAAACAATTGAGACACAACGATGAAGAGATCGGTAATGTAAACGTGGGTGATAGCCACCATGTGTTCTTAGTGCTGACCGACATAGATTCTGGAATAACAGCATGTTTATCTCCATTCCACCACGACACAATTATTGAACTCCAATGGTGACAGCTACTTCGTACGCAAATATTTAGTCGACACCCTTCGAGAAATGAAACAACCTTTGCAAAGTTTAGTTGAAACGGAACGCAACTCCAATGACGTCACACAGTTCATCGTGATGCACAGTATATGACGTTTTCGCGCAGATGAATAAAATTTTCTGGATATGACGTCACAGTAGGAGCTCTCTGTTGTCCCAATTATAGTAGTCGATTTCCCTGCTCCACATATCCTGTAGTGTTGTATTAACTACTGCATGATGTCAATAATAGTTTTTGCGAAGTAGCTTTTGTGATTTCAAACGTCTAATTGATCAATCGGAATCGAGTAATTTCTAAAGACATATTCATTATTAAAGTACTGATGCCCGTAACAGTTGCACGAGACTTATATATAAGTCTTATTTCCTATGTTCATATATTATGAAGATGCGAAACGCGACCAATGAACGTCGGTTTTATTTCACTCACCGTTTTCAGCAACACGTCGTCTGCATACTCCGCCACCCGTTTTATCATGTTGAGTGCCACTAGACATTGCAGAACGTTTCATGAGGCATTGTGAAGATAAACGACGAAATGCACAAATGGAAACAAACTTTACAAACTTTATGAATCATGACATGTTCTATTTGAACTTTATGCGTTCCCTTATTGAGACAAAAACCGGGAAGGGTTAAGCACCTGAACACGAAGAGTGTCGAGTGCCGCAATCAGTATTACCTGTAGCGTCCTCCATGTCAGGGGAGTCCTCGCGCAGATAAGTCAAATATCCTGAATAGTAATAGAGAAAAAACAAAAATACTATTACTTTCGGTTCAATTTTCCCAAAAAAACTGCCGGGCATAAGAAAGTATACACCCATGTATGATGGCGGGTTAACCTGAAACTAACAAGGAATGTTGACTGGTTCTGTTAGTATTCATTTTGTGAAGTCACGGAGGTTGTTGAAGAGGATTTGGACGTTTTCCCAGTTGATGTTGTGATTGGGGCAGTTGCTGATATGGTCCGAGATGGCTGATTTACTGTCTGATTTTGAAGTTGAAGTTTTGTCCACATTCGCCGCCACATGCCATCAATTAACAGAGATCAAGGCTATTTCATCCCATCCGCCTACTATGAAATCATTAAGCAATAAACAACAACCTGCTGCTACCTTAACCTTATCCTGTTTAATTGGCTTCATGTCCCATTGGCTTCCACCTCATGTGTCTGTCCATCTTCCTGCTACAGTATTATCATTCTGTTGTCATTACTTAACCTAGTCATGTTATCCCACTCATGTTGTTACTGTTATTCCCCAAACCTACTATAACTATTCAATCAATCTTTATTGTATGAAAGGCCATTGGCCCATATACACATACAGATAAACAATATCATTTACAGCTGTACAGCGCATTATATAATTATTGGATAACTAATATGAGGTATTGTAATAACAGTGGTAATAACCACAGTTGCAGTAGTAGTATAAAATACAAAAGGAATGGAATAGCATAGCACGACGTTCAATACAAAATGATCTATCAGTAATAGACTCATCATGTCATGACAATTTGACAATTTAAATGTATAATTATGCATTTCTAGTAGAAACAAACAGACAAAAATGAAATGTAGATACTCCTGATTTAGATGCGAAAGTTTCAAAACAACTATTTTTTTCTGGACATATCGGATTCACTAAGTAATTTACTACGCACTCGCAGACTTTGATAGATGTATTGTAATATCTTAGTTAATTTTTGACTAGGGATACCATTAAAAGATAGTATTTTGTTCATGGAATAGTGGTTCTTAGTGATATCAGGCATATATTTCAATCTTAGGTTGTCGTAAATTGGACATATAAACAAAAAGTGTAATTCGTTTTCAATATGGTTTTCGCAGAATGGACAAAAACGCATATCCTTAGGAATAGAGGAGAAGCGACCCCTGTTGCACATCAAATCATTTAACCCTAGCCTAAGTTTAATAAATGTGTCTCTAATTTTTCTCTCTGTTATAGTATGCAGGTAAACCTCTGGTGTTAGACAATATTTAAAGGTATTATAGACGTCGTAGCGTGTACTGTTATCTAGTGACGACCTCCAGTTTTGAGTAAACATATCAATTGCTACCTGCTTAAAAGAGCTAAGAAAATACATTTTGTCTCCAACGCTTTGATTTAGCCAAACATATCCAAATCCGTGAGAGAAGAGTAAATGCTTAATGTTTGATGCCCAGGTTACGTAACCAACACTATCACGATAGACAAGCATTTCGTAGCATTTTCTTGGGATTCGTTCCCGCGACATCTCTGTTATTTTGAGCCAGTATCTGAGTAAACGTAAATATGAACAAATATATAACGGGTATCTACCACATTCGCCATAGACCATATGATTTGGAGCTGATTTAGAAACATTTAGAAATCTTTTACATGCAGTTAAGTGTACCTTTTCAATATTGTAATAGGTTTCAAAACCCCAGACCTCTGATCCATATAATAAGATTGGCTGAACTTGAGCATCAAACATTTTGAAGAAAATAGTAGGTGAGATAACACGCAATTTATCTAGAACGACAAATAGATTTATTAGGGCCTTTTTTGCTCGTAGGGCGAGATCGTTAACTAGATGTTTAAGATTAAGGTTAAACGGTAAAACAACACCGAGGTATTTATACATGTTTGTAACATTTATAGGGTGGTTATTGAAGAACCATTTATCTCTCGATGCAAGAGGACCGCCTCTCCTAAATACGATAATATTAGTTTTTTCCAAGTTAACAGATAGCTTCCATGTAACAGTGTAACTGTATAGTATATCAATTTGTTTCTGGAGTCCGATAATAGAGTCAGAGACTAGAATCACGTCATCGGCAAAAAGTAATATAAGTAATTCATAAAGGTCAGGGTATAATTGCACTCCGTGTTTACCGTTTTGTTGAACATCGAAGGAAAGCTCATTAATGAAGAATGAAAATAGGAGAGGACTCAAGATACAACCTTGTTTAACTCCCATGGGGCAGTCAAAATAATCGGTGACTCCACTATTATGTCGTACACAAGATTTTACATTTTCATACATTGATTTTAAAATAGTAAACATTTTCCCACCAACACCAGCTGCCCTAAGACAATCCCAAAGTTTAGATCGGTCAACAGTGTCGAAAGCTTTTTTAAAATCTACAAACGCAATATAGAGTTTTCGTTTTCGGCATCCGAGATATCTCTGAACAATAGCATAAAGTGAGAAAATATTATCAGCAGGTGAATATGATTTTCTAAAGCCAGCTTGAGTTGGTGGGATTTTGTCAAAAACATTAGCCCAGGTAGTAAGACGATTGTTTAGAATTATAGCAAACAGTTTACCTAAGATGCTTGTTAGAGAAATTGCTCTATAGTTATCGGGGTTGGTCACGTCTCCCTTTTTAAATACAGGCACAATGACAGATCTAGACCATGCATTTGGGAATATACCCTTTCTGAATATTTCGTTAAAACATTTGTGCAAAAAGGGAGTAATGATATGTTTTGAACTTTTTACATTTCAGCTAGGACATCATCGGGGCCTGGAGATTTACCTGGTTTAAGTGTATTAATGGCATTGTGTATTTCAGCGACTTCAAATTCCGATTCTAAAATATCTCGCTCAACATCAGATAAATTTACATCATTAACAACTTCATGGATGTTATCCTCGAAAATATGGTTATTTCCAAAAACCTGTTTGAAATGGAGAAGCCATCCAGGACCTGTAATATTATTACGTGCAATGACTGGATTACGTAGAGATTTTATCTCTTTCCAAAAATGCTTTGAGTTCTTTAATGAGTTGCTTAATTTATTCAATTTCAGATGTCTTAAAGAGTTAAGGTGTTGTCTGCATTCTGTTTTATATTTGTTTCTTAGTTTACAATAATTTCTTCTATTTAGTTCTGATCTATTTCGACGAAACTCGCGAAGGGCTCTTCTGGCTGATCTTTTGGGTTCTTTACATTTGCCGTTTAAACTGAACAGCTTTTTAGGAACTAAATTTGAACACGAGCGTAGTTTCATACATTTGCCGGACTCCAAAAGAATGTTTATAAAGAGATCGACCGCATCATGCATATTTCTCCTCAAAGTATGAAACAGGGTGTCAGACACCTCATCAAAAGTATGGCTTAGACATCGTAAGAAGTCAGGTTTTTTAGATTCATTCCATCTAAAACTGTCAGAAAATATATCCTCTGATAATGGTTCCGATACAGGATTATAAAATGCACACTGTAGTTCTAAAGGAGAGTGGTCGGAGTCTGTGCTCTCCCAAACAGTTAGGCAATCAACAAATCTGAAGAATTCAGCTGACGCTATAAAATAGTCAACAATGCTACTGCCATTACTCCTTACACATGTTAGTTCACCACTTCTGTCGCCATTCACTCTGCCATTCATGATATACAGGTTATATACATAACATAAATTAAGAAGAAAGCGACCAAATTTGTTAACCACATCATCAAGTGACGATCGTTTACTAATGTCACAAGGATCGTCTTCAGGAAAAATATCTGGATCACCGTGATTTAATTCAGGTTCTGGAGGGTTATTCTCAGTACCTGTTCGAGAATTGAAATCCCCACACAGTAATATAAAGAAATCAGATAGATACTCTGATAGGTCAAGAAGAAAGTTATCAATTTTATCAAATAAGCAAGCATTTGGATTTTTCACGTAATACGTTGAATTTTCAGGGAGAATATATAAACAGAAGATCAGAATATCTTTTGGTAAACCGAACGGAGTTTTCTTAATTTCTATGGTCAAAAGATTGTCAATATCATTTCGACGTAACTCACAAAACTGTTGAAATTCATATCTAACAGCAAAGCAACCTCCACCACTATTCCTGCCATGACCTGACAATTTCACCGACGGAGAGTAAAATATTTTATATCCAGGCAACCAGTCATAGTCTACGTAATCCAAAAAGGTTTCCGATAGACAAAGAAAGTCAAAGCTTTGTAGATATGAAATAAAGTCATTATTTGAGAGGTTACTGGACAAACCATTCACATTCCAGCAGAGAAATCGGCACAGAGTGTTATCAATTTCATGAGTGGGCTTGATACCGGTGCGTCGTCCATTTGGCTCCAATAAAGATTGATTGAACTATAACTATTCTGTACCATGTTCATCATTCAGTCTTGCTTGACAACGGTATAAGGATCTATAGAGAAACTATGGTACATAGCGTTCTACAGACAAACGAGTGGGCTTTCTATGGTATCTGACCGAGCGAAAGCGAGGACAAATACCATAGAAAGTTCACGAGTTTCGTAAAAATGGTATCTAACGAGAATGAGTGTGGTATTTTATTTATTACCCACGTTAAATATATATTTAAGTGTAAACACATAACAACTTTCGTTCGTTGACAGACCAAACTGAAACCGATTGCAAAATCAGGTTGCGCATGAATATTGATACATGCCCAAATATGGGCATTGTTGAAATTTCTATGCATACGCATTAACAATATGCTCTTGCTGTTGTGTTTGCAAACATAACAGCGCCGACGCTTTGAATATCGGACCAACAGTCGGTCACTCGCGCTGCCGGGGTCCCGGTTGTGGAATCAAAATGGTTCGGTTTCCTTGACCTATCAGCTGAATTTATATCATGTCCGTAACCATTTTGGAAGAGGGAAATCAGATTGTTCGCCAAAGACATTCATGTTAACTGTACCACCATATACTGAAGACGTGAAAATCAACAAACTCAAGTCTGCTTGCATGTCAGTGACAGCTTCGAACGAAGGGCAAGTTCACCACCGGAATAAGAAAGGATAACCGTGATCTACTCATAGAGATAGAGAATATGTTATTGTTCACATTTGGGATGTTTTGGGCCACATAATCAAAACACTTTTACGAAGTTTTCGAATGATTTGTATCGGTTATGTTCACTTTTAGTGCTATGGTCGTGCAGTCGTGTATTTTCATTCATGAACAAACACCTTCGGAATCAATATAACAAAATACGCTTCAAATGGCGACACTGATGGCACAACCGGAGCATCGAACGTAAGTAAGTGACTTCATTTCACCACGCTTAACCTTTTACGTTAAATCAAATTGAAAGTCGCGAAAGTGGTCGGGTTCGTCACGCTCATTGGGACCCTTGATCCATCTGTAGACATTGCATATGGATATTGCTCGATTATGAAATGTCTGTAGTAGCTCTATGCATAACTAATATAGAATGCAAAGCGAATTTAATGCGTGTGACGATCTTGTTTGGTTTAATATAGTGTGTGTAAATGTTTCTCGCGTTCATGAAATTCCTTCAGTTCTGCCTTGCAGTTGTAAAAGTGAATGATGTCTCGCGATTTTTTATGAATTAAAAAAGTAGTCCCGGTGTGACATAGGTCACGGTTATCCAAACAAAACGAATAAAACGAGGTCAACCTTGTGACGTACGGATTTAGTGTCTTACCACTTGTATCTTCACCACGTGGGTAATAAATACAGAAACGTCGCCTTTACAGTAATGAAAGAAGTTGTTATCCATAAATTGTGTCTACTTTGTCATCCGTCAAATTCTAAGCAATGCTTATCAAACTATTTAATATGTTTGTTGTTATTATATACTCTCCCACAATAGATAGGAGGGCATGAAATATAAATCTTATTATCGGCCGTCAGAAGACAGATGTGTTACTCACTCTGCAGCAGCAGCTGGTACCGGGGCAGACGTTGTATGGGCTCCAGCATGTGAGTCTCCAGTGTCAGGTTATCACACTCCGTGCTTTGCTGAAACAGTTCATCCCCAATCATAAGGGCATGCTTCGCTGGGGAAATGTTCCCTGTGCTACATGTAACTAGAAACAATTCAATTACGAAGTCTAAATATGAATAATGTCCAGCGATATAAGTGCATGTCTTATCTCAAACTGCACAGTTCTAGTATACAACCAACATCTGCTCTATACAAAAATCCCACGGCATATATATGTCTTATCTTGGACAGTAACACCTTGAGACATCCCCAGGTTCAACCCAACAGTACCAGCCACATTCTACTGCTTCCCTACCACTGCATAATCGCCATGTATAAGAAACATTTGTTAAGTTCATTCGCTACACTAACTTCTACCACACAAGTACTGCAAACAGCGTGTCGAATGGTGGGGTATTACTGACATAGTTCAGATATATTACTGGGATAACTTAAATGATAATCGTAAAGATGAAAATGCGTAGTTTCATAGGAAATCGCCAAAAGAAACCAAAGAAAACACAATCATTTGAAATTATTTATCGTCATTTTCCTGTATTTGAAAGAGCCATCAAATCTCCTGAAAAGGACAGAAATATTAATCAATATTTTACCAAAAGTGTTACTATTCTCATTACTCATTCATGTATCGACTGCTGGAGACACGACAACTGCACCACAGTCATCTAAAAGTGGCAAGTCAGAACCTTACCACATTCACGCCCTGGCGTGGTATCGATGGATTCACAAGCTAATAGTGTTATTTGGTGCCGTTTCGGCCTGGGTTTTTTCAAATAATCTAAGGCCACTTCAATTTGTCAGTATTTTCCATAATTTAATCATATTTCTATGTGTCACGTGAATACAATCATATTTTTGAATGAAGTCAACATGAATGATTTTGACTATTTTGAAAACTAACATTGTACAGTAGAAGTACAGTTGTAACAACACATATCTAACAGTAGTCAATCGATCGCCAGCATATATACATATGAGAAAAATGAAATCGTCATCTTTTCCCACCAAACCCATGAGCGTATGATATTCACTAGAACATCGTTACTCGTGAACCCAGTCAGTTTGAGTTAGACTTTAACAACAATACTTAAAATTACCTAAGACTAAAATGCAAAATGAATTTGCGTTTTGCGTTATTCAGATATGTCAGACTATATATCTTAGTTTGAACAAACAAATAACACCGGATTCAATGTCCTCCGCATGGCTACCATAAAACATTTTGAAATCTTTACGAAGGCCTTGAAGGTTGCTTGAACTTTTCATAGAAAGAGCATGCTCGATTGTTTCCACAAATGTTGGGACATGCCAACAGATCAGCATGGGCAGCGAACGATCAGCAAGAAAGGGGGCACACTTGGGGCTCATGGGGAGGCCTACTTCTTGCCGAAATATGATATACCAAAATTTCACATTGATGTTTTCTATGACGAAGTCCAGCATTTCACAACTTATTTTCCTATTGAACTCCAGAGGACATTTGACAAATTGTCCTGAACACTTTGGAGATAGAGATGTAACTATATCTATGGTTACCACCTGTAGTGAGAAATGTTCCATGAGGAATGTCGTGTGGGATCGTGATGTCCTAAGTTGAAAAATCAAATGTTTTGTCAGAATGTAACTGAGATTGCAGAAACCAAGCAACTCCTTTGAGTTTTTGCGAATCCACATGGTATTAATTCCTATTGTCTCAAGAACTTTATGTGAATAAACAGAAAGTCCTTCCTTGATAGTTTTATGAAAATTGTTAATCTTTGAGACAGGGATTTGGTGGAACATTTGCTGGACCCAACAATTTATGTCCTTTGTAGGGAATTATTTTAGCTTTGGAGTCCAGTTAAAAAGAAGAATGGACACATGTTCAGGTTTCAGAGTCAAGCCAAAAGTCGATAGAACTGATGCATTGTTTGGGCAGATTTCTTCCTAAGATACCTTTCTTGGATTATATATGACATCATTTCACTTATATCAACTTCTTTTACAAAGCAAACACTGTAGTAATGCTTACATTATAATGATTATGTGATTTGAGGCTGACGAACTTTTTATTTGGGGCAGCCACACTTTGGATGACAGCTGGATGGGTCAAAAAGGGTTTATTCCAATTCTGTTTCCTTTTGCAGTTTGTGCATTCAACCAACGACACCACAACCCTGAAAGACATTCTCTATTGGATAATATTTTGACATATGCTTCGACATCATCCTTAATTGTTTTAAAGTTGGTCCATACTTGAACTTCTGACAGAGGTTGTTTGTCACCTGTGATTATGACTAACGGGTAGATAGCAGAATGGAGAGTTGTAAAGAACATATAACAAACGTTATATGTGTATGTTATATATACATGCGACTATGCTTGTCGTAAGAGACTAACGGGATCGGGTGGTCAGGTTCGCTGACTTGGTTGATGCATGTCATCGATCCCAGTTGCATCGATGCTCATGATGTAAATCACTGGATTGTCTGGCCCAGACTCGATTATTTACAGACGGAATAAACAAACAAACAAACAAACAAACAAACAAACAAACATGCCACCAGCCTAACATTGTATTGTATAATTCATTAATGCTGTGAAGTGTATATTAAGTTTTTAATATTCGTATTTAACTTACCGTTCAAAGAAGGCTAATGACGAAGATATAGTAATGTGACTATACACACAGCATGGTAACCGGGAAAGTGTAAATTACTGGAATGTAGGTTCATTGTTCTTTTTCTTTAGTATTTGTAAAGAGTATTTAGTATTTAGTATTTGTGGTTAAGTTACCGTTTTGTTTGAATTAGCTTACTTGTATGTCTGTAATTATCGATGCAAATTTCACAGATTTCTTTGCCCACTCTGCCAATAGCCTTTGACCGCCCCGCAGTCCGCGCATGTAGTCCGCGTATTGACGAAGGAATGGCTGACACTGGCGGAAGATGTCGCCTATCTTTGGCTCGTGTTTCCTTAAAAAGAGTTTCACATGTTATGTTCATTTGTACACAACAAATAACGTAAGCAAGATGTAGCACGCATTGCTATGCTTCATAAATTCATATCACAAACAACATTTTGTTGGCCCTATTCATTTTGTGAATGTCTGATGAGGACATGTGCGACGAAGACATTGTGCGACGTTGACATTGTCTGGTGAGGATATGTGTGGCGAGGACATTGTGCGACGTTGACATTGTCTGGTGAGGATATGTGTGGCGAGGACATGTGCGACGTTGACATTGTCTGGTGAGGATATGTGCGGCGAGGACATTGTGCGACGTTGACATTGTCTGGTGAGGATATGTGTGGCGAGGACATTGTGCGACGTTGACATTGTCTGATGAGGATATGTGTGGCGAGGACATTGTGCGACGTTGACATTGTCTGGTGAGGATATGTGTGGCGAGGATATTATGTGACGAGGATATGTGCAAGGAAGATATTTGTGATGAGGACATTGTGTGACGAGAATATATATGATGAGGACATGTTCGACGAGGACATTGTATGACGAGGATATGTATGATGAGGACATGTGCGACGAGGACATTGTATGACGAGGATATGTATGATGAGGACATGTGCGACGAGGACATTGTGAGATGAGAATATGTGTCAGGAGGATATTTGTGACGAGGACATTGTGAGCTGAGAATATGTGTGATGCGGAAATGCTTGGCAAGAATATGTGTGATACGATGATGTGTGTGACGAGACTATGTAAGATGAGGGTATGGTTGATGAGGATATGTATGGCGAGGATATTGATTGACGAGAATATGTGTGATTAGGAAAGGTTTGACCAGGATACGGGTGATTTAAGGATATGTGATGAGGACATTGTGTGAGGAGGATTTTGTGTGACGAGGACATTGTGTGATGTCGAAATAATGTGACAAGGATATGTGTGGCGAGGACAAAATGTAACGAAGATATATGTGTCGAGGACGTTATGTGACGAAGATATATGTGGCGAGGACGTTATGTGACGAAGATATATGTGGCTAGGACGTTATGTGACGAACATATATGTGTCGAGGACGTTATGTGACGAAGATATATGTGTCGAGGACGTTATGTGACGAAGATATATGTGTCGAGGACGTTATGTGACGAAGATATATGTGGCTAGGACGTTATGTGACAAAGATATATGTGGCGAGGACATGGTGTGACGAGAACATGTATTTTATTACTTCTGTGACGAAGTAGTGTGAATATTTCAGCACACGTATGGTCACCGGGAAAGTGCAAATAACTGGCATATTGGTTATACTTTATGTTCTTGTACTGTTTCTATGACTGTACATGTGCGATAAGTACATACTTTGATATTTATGTTTGGAGACGTTGATATATTGAAATACGACGATCAATAAATGGATGATGACGTAATTCAGACAAATTGATCCTTTTATTTGCAGCCTAATCTGACATGTTATTATATTTTAGAAAGTAGCGAGTGCGAACCTAAGAACGTTAAAACTGGCTGTCGTTTATGACACATGTGACACTACCTTAAATAATAATAAAACACACTTCATTGGAAAAATCAGTTTACTTACCACTTAGAGAGTCTCTCTTCCAATTGCGGCAGTAAGTAATCCTTATGGAATTCCCAAATCGATGCCAAACTCGGAAATATTTTCTTTATGATATCATCACTGACAGCTTTAACGCTTTTGTTCTTTGTGTTCACCTGTAATGATCCAATATTACAGAACCACCAACTGTACATTGTATGTCAGAACATTCAACATCTTATGTTACCCCATGTTACACTCATAGTTACATAACAGCGTTCTATTCAGAACACCCCAATGTGGGAACAGCTACTCTACCTGATTGAGTATGTCTAATCTTGAGACATAGGTTCTCTCAGTGTCGACAATTTCTGTCACTGTCAGATAAGCCATATCGTCCTGGAGTGCCGCCTGTGCAGTTGTGCGCCGTTTGATGACTCGCTGTCTTCTTATCCGTATTTCGGTGACCTCCTAAAAAGGAAGGACATCACATATACTCTATACTCATACTGCAAGGAATATGTAAAGCAAGCAGGAGCAGATTAGGATGTCACCAACCTCATGCGTGGTGTGGCTGCTGCTGCCAGCTGTTTCCTCGGTGATGACAGCGTCCACACTCCCCCGTCTTACTTGGAATGTGTCCCCTGGCTTTAGGGACATCAGTATATCAGCATTCACATAACCCACATTTTCCTGCAAGTACACATTTGAAAGATATATTTTCTTCGAAAACAATGCACAATGGTATTTTAACTGGTTGAGATAAATGACAAGTCATAAATGAATATATTTTGTTTCCTTCATGATATGAAATTTGAAATGTTTCACCCCATAGTATAGAATACGTTTACCAAAATCACACGTTTGGAAACCACTTCTGTGATGCACATGCAGTAATTCAAGGTTAAAAAAATATTTCAGCATTTGCACACCAAGCATATAAAAATTATCAGCATCAAGTAATGAATGCACATCCTAGCTTCAACAGGCATATGATTGATAACTTTAAGAGTTTGATATGCGTTTAAACGTTGTTCTGAATTGGCAGCAGAAGGTGATAGAGAAAATATGTCGCTTAACATTACATGTAAATAAGATAACTTGTCAGATGGCAAGTATATAGTTAAAACAATGTAATTTTACAAAATAGTCCACGCCTTAAATCTAACTCTTAACCCTAGCTGTCTCATGGGTTCAAGGAACAAACAAGTTCACAATTTTATACGAGGAACAATATTTACGGGAACCCCTGTCATGACAGCAATAACAAAGAAATGACCAGCATTGTTGAACGAGACACAGTCACAGAACGCGGATTGCAAACGTAACACATGCCCGTCCACTATGCCACATCCTGGTTACTAGCACGTGACAATGACGTCACAACCACATGGTTCTTCGATTGGGTACAACGAAGGAATATGCTTCCTGAAGTCGAGATGACAGAAAAGGAAAAATGGATTGAAGCGGCAAATAACAGAATACAGTTGTCAGTGCTTAAATAAATCTAAGACTGTGATATCCCCACTGATGAAACGATATCGGCAAACTGGTGGGGTTACAATTAGCGTGGGAAGAGGAAGGCCTAGAGAGACTACTCCCAGGTAGGTTCGATATGTTCGCACTATTGCTTTGAGGAACACTTTCATTCCCAAAACAGAACTGATAGACAACTTTAGGGCTGCCACAAGAATCCGACTTTCGCCGTCAACGATCCGAAACAGGTTACAAATTTCTGAGGAATGCGTCTGACTGTGGCACATAGGCGCCTCAGACAACAGTGGGCACAGACGATTGGTGTTCGTCAACAGCGGCTTTGGAGATACACCATGTTTTCTGATGAATCGAGGTTCTGTTTGAGCTTTATGGTAGACAACGTGCTTGGAGAAGGCGTTGAGAGAGGTACTATCTCGCGCGATAGAGCACGATAGGTACGGTGGTGGTAGCATCATGATCTGGGCTGGCGTTACATACGACAACATTTATGTAGACTAAATCTTAAGACCAGTGATCATCCCATTTGTCCAGCGCGTAGATCAGTACTTTGAGTTCCAGGATGAAAAAAGCACATCCTCCTAGACCTCGTGTTGCAGTATGAGGTAAGCAAGGTGTCACAACATTGCCCTGTCCAGCCAGATCTCCAGACATGTCACCGATTGAACACCTTTGGAAGATTCTTGACCACCGCGTTCCCAGAAATTGCAACAGGCCTCACAAGAAGAGTAACCACGGTAGACAATCCGGCTTTTGATTTCCAGTGTGCCCAGAATATGTCGTGCCTGCATCGATGCTAACAGTGTATGGATCAGATATTTACATTAAGTAATAACTACTAAATGACTTCATCGCGCGTGTCCAAACCATTGGCTAATTACGTCCGTAACCCAATCACCCCTCGTAACTCAATCACCCCCGGGCTTACGCTTTGTACATTTCCTTTGTACCCAGTCGCGACCGTTTCGCCGATTACACTTTGAATACCATCTATTCCAACACTCGCCGTATCGCATTTACACAATCGCGACCGTTTCGCCGATTTCGCTTTGAATACCACCTATTTCAGCACTCGCCGTATCGCATTTATTCCGTTCTACTCCCGAACTTCATCCTCGGGACGATTTTACACTTGTGGAATACCAACTCACCACCTCGACCTTTCGTGATGCCTCCCAAGAGAAGAGCAGCCGTCAACCACAAGCTGGCGAGGGGAGCCAAGCAGGCCAGGACAACCAGAAGACAAACCCCGGGAGTACACATTATGCAGGAGGCAACAGCTGATGGTGAGTCTTCCAATTACGGAAATATCGAAGGTGGCAACAGAATTAACGTGCAATCGGCTCAGCTTGTAAATGCCGCGCAGGCTGCCAACTCGGCTACCCAGGTAAACGAGCACCTCGACCTTTCGTGATGCCTCCCAAGAGAAGAGCAGCCGTCAACCACAAGCTGGCGAGGGGAGCCAAGCAGGCCAGTCCAACCATCCGATTTCGAGCTAGTAGGCATCAGATTCGAAGGTGAGTTCTATTATGATAAATGCTTACCATTGGCTGCTCCATATCTTGCGCCATATTTGAAACGTTTAGTACCTTCTTGCAATGGTGCATGCAATCGCATCTTCCAACGTGTCCGATCATGCATTACCTGGATGACTTCCTAACGGGGGGCACAGCAGGCACCAGCCACTGCTCAGACAACCTCAACGGATGCATGAATACACTAGAACAGCTTGGGGTCCCTATTGCGCACGACAAGACGGTGGGCCCCACGACCAAACTGACATTGTTAGGTCTGGAAATCGACACTAATGCAATGCAGATCAGAATCCCAGAGTCCAAGATCAAGGAGGCGACAAGGGAAATCCAAGACATCCTGTCAACAGGTAACATCAAGGTCACAAAAAGGGCCCTTCAGTCCCTCATAGGCAAGCTTAACTTTATGTGCAGGGCTATACCAATGGCAAGGGCATTCAGCCGAAGGCTAATCGATCTGCTTAGCAATGGTAAGCAACCATTTCACCGCATTAGGATTACCAGCTGGGTCAAGGAAGACCTACCAATGTGGTTAACATTTCTTACGAGTTATAACGGCATTTCAGTGTTTCAGGACCAACTGTGGGTAGACAGCGATTTCCTCCAGCTGTTTTCAGACGCAGCGGGTGGTGCCGGCTTTGGGGCCTACATGCAGGGCAAATGGTTTAACGGCGCATGGCCAACCCAGTGGGTGACGGATGGAACTACACAGGACTTGATGCTCCTGGAGCTGTTCCCCATCACACTGGCCATCCAACTCGCAAACAAAAAGGTCCTGTTTTACTGAGACAACCAAGCCGTCGTAGCAATAATCAACAAACAGTCGACCAAGGCCCCCAGAGTGATGAGCCTACTCCTTCGCCTAATCCTGCAGTGCCTCCGATATAATATTATGTTTAAGGCAAAGTATGTATGTTCCACTGCTAACTCTATTGCCGGTGCTCTCTCGAGGTTTCAGCTCAAACGCTTCCGAGAGGCAGCACCAGACGCGGACCAGAATCCCACACCTATCCCGTGCAACATATGGCTGATCTGAGGCAGGAAGCCGGCAGACTCCTACAACAATCTCTGCCTACAAATACATGGGCCACTTACCAAATAGGCATCAATGCCTTGCACCAGTTCCGGTCCACACACCAGCTACAAGAGGTGTGGCCAGTCCCGCTGGATCAGGTCGTAAACTTTATTGCTTATCTGTCAGTCACTCACCACTCGCCTAACACAGTCAAGACTTACATTGCAGCGCTGTCTTCACACCACAAATTCCACCGACTGTACAAACCATTTCCTGGTAGGCAAGATTTTAACAGGCTTACACAAATCAGCGGGCCGACCAGACACCAGAAAACCGATCACTGCAGACCTGTCGCAGGTAGTAACCAACAATCTGCCTCACGTATGCTCATCAGCATATGAAGCCAGACTGTTAAAGGCAGTCTACTGCACAGCCTTCTTCGGCTTCTTTAGGGTTAGCGAACTGGTCAAAACTGAACCCTCAAAAACAGGTTGCGCCATCCAGAATTTAAGCTTCTCGGGCAACCCCCAGCAGCTTTCAATCCATTTACCACACTCAAAGTCTGATCAGTACAGGATGGGGACAACAGTTACAATGTCATCGATACCAGGTTTTCTGCTATGTCCGGTAGTCGCCATCAAGCACTACCTGGAGGCGCGCCCCTCCGGCCCACAACATGCATTCGTTCATTTCGACCATTCCCCAGTTACAAGGTACCAATTCCAGGCACTCCTAAAAAAGGCCTTAGCACACAGCAACATAAACACGGCTTGCTATTCTTCGCACTCCTTCTGCATGGGGCAGCCACATCAGCAGCCTTGAACGGGGTGCCCGAACACCTCATACAACAATACGGCAGGTGGAAAACAGATTGCTACAATGCTTACATACGCTTACCAACAAATTCAATGTTACACAATTAAATCATTAAGTCTTTCATGGTACTTACTACACTTCTTATTGTTTACAGTTTGGGTGGTGGGATCCAGCTACATGGCCAGGGCACGGCAGTACTTGCTCCTGAAGTCTGAACAAACCGAGAATGCTATGGCTGGCACGAGGGGGGATGAGGTGGAAGGAGCTGGACACCATTCTGGATGCACAGGTCAAGGCGACACGGCGCACCCCCAGAGCCCTCATCATTCACCTGGGCTCCAACGACCTGTGCTCGGTCAAGGGCAGCCAACTCTACCTTGACATGGTGGCATCAATCCTTCGGATACAACTCCAGCTTCCTGACACCAAGATCATTGTATCCTCAATTCTGCCCAGGCGCTTCTGGCACGATGCCAGGGATCCACTAAAGATCGAGGGGATGTGGAAGAATATCAACCGCCGACTGGCCAACCGAGTGAAAGAGCTCAGCGGTACAATGGTGCCACATCCCCAGATCCTGGCATCAGACATGACATGGTACGCCTGGGAGGGCGTCCACCTCAGTGACAAAGGATTGTGTGTGTTTACGGACACTTTATTGCCTGCCCTGGCGCTTGTTTTGCGCCAAAAAGGATGTTATCTCCACAGGTTAGTGTTTCTTTTCAGTACATAGGCAAGCGGGGCAACAATGCTATCTCTGCGTATTGCGTGGCCGTGGGTGTGGGGTAGCACTCTGGTGCTTTGTGGCGGGGTTCTTGTGGGCTACACTGCTAGTAACGAATTAACTTGCTTCCAAATTAATGCTCGTGCTTAAGGCAACCTGCTTTTCAGCGGGAACCTTTCCGGGGTTACCTGCTTCTCAGTGGGAACCTTGTCTTTCCCGACTATTCAGCCGGGGAATCTTAAAATAACATACGTTGGGGCAAACAATTGCCACGTATATGGGCCCGGCGGCGGAAGTCGTCTTGTCAAGCGGTTGCTGACAGTTGGGTCCGCGGCGGTAGTCGCACAATGGTTTTGCAAATGGGGCCAGGCAGTGGGATCTGCTTTGGCCGGCTACCTGGGGCTGGGCAGCGGTAGTCTGACTTAGGCCAGCAGCGGGGAGCTGCTTTTGGCAGCGTGGGAGTTGCCAAGCAATGGTAGCATTTAAATATGCTACCGTGGGGGCCGGACAGTGGTAGCAGTCTCAGGCCAGCAGTGCTAGCTGCGAATTGCCGTTGGCCACGCTAGTGGCCATGGCAACGGTAGCATTTTGGTATACACAATTAGCAGCTTAGTAGCCCACTACTACCTGCACACCCTCGGCCATTTAACCCAATCTGATCTTCTGTTTTTATTATAGGCACGGGCATCCAGGCCTGGTGGCCCGTGCCTCTCCTTGGCATATCGCGGGATAATTACATTTAGTACTAACTACTAAATGACTTTATCACGCGTATCCAAACCATTGGCTAATTACGTCCGTAACCCAATCACCCCTCGTAACTCAATCACCCCCGGGTCACCACTCTGCACCGTGCCCAGGGAATTATCCCGCGTGAGTATCATCCCGCCTTTTGTTAGTCCATCATTCGCGGACAGTCCTTCTTCAAGTACACACTCGTTCACTGTATCTAATCGCTTTCACACCCACCCACCCAGCTTGCCACTCCTTTTCTTTCCTTTTCAACCTGATGTGTCCTCTTCACCTGGAATGCTAATCACTTCTTTTCTTCAGCGTTTATTCTATTACAGGTACCAGCAGAGCAGATTGTATATATGTAAATAAACCTGTACATATGTAAAAAAGGTTTTCAGGGCGCTTGTATATATGTACATACCTTTTAAACGATTCTGATATATGTAAATAAACATGACTTCTAAATAGCTGTATATATGTATATATGCGAATACCTGTCTCAACAATAAACTATGTCGAGGTGTGCAGGGTTCTTGTGGGCTACACTGCTAGTAACGAATTAACTTGCTTCCAAATTAATACTCGTGCTTAAGGCTACCTGCTTTTCAGCGGGAACCTTTCCGGGGTTACCTGCTTCTCAGTGGGAACCTTGTCTTTCCCGACTTTTCAGCCGGGGAATCGTAAAATAACATACGTTGGGGCAACAATTGCCACGTATATGGGCCAGGCGGCGCACAATGGTTTTGCTAATGGGGCCAGGCAGTGGGATCTGCTTTGGCCAGCTACTTGGGGCCAGACAGCGGTAGTCTGACTTAGGCCAGCAGCGGGGAGCTGCTTTTGGCAGCGTGGGAGTTGCCAAGCAATGGTAGCATTTAAATATGCTACCGTGGGGGCCGGACAGTGGTAGCAGTCTCAGGCCAGCAGTGCTAGCTGCGAATCGCCGTTTGCCACGCTATAGCCATGGCAACGGTAGCATTTTGGTATACACAATTAGCAGCTTAGTAGCCCACTAGTACCTGCACACCCTCGGCCATTTAACCCAATCTCATCTTCTGTTTTTATTATAGGCACGGGCATCCACAGCTCGGTGGCCCGTGCCTCTCCTTGGCATATCGCGGGATAATGACTTTCCTATGAAGATTGAATTCCACAATGTCGTTTCTCTACATATCATTTCTGAATATATTGGGGGGTTCCCTTAAATATTGTTCCTAGTATTTAGTATTTAACCAGTCTGACATGCTAGGGGGCGTACTTGAGAGACTGTGGTATTCACTATTTCTATAGGAGTTTCTACTGTTTAACTGTTGTATAATCATTGTTCGTTTCAAATCTATTTAACACATTTCAACACCAGGAAAGTCACACGTTATACATTCAGAAGTCATTACATAACGTCTTCTTGTATTGTGTATACAATAAGTAGCATAAGAACGTCAATACCTCATTGTCAGGAGGAATGTCCTCAGACATGCTGGATGGGTTTTGTTCTTTTTGACTGCCGCGTGGATCTAAGCTGTAATAAATGGACAAATGTGAAAAAAATTAACCATCGTAAAATAATATTACAACCCCATTAATCAGCAGGGCGGTGTCCAGCAAATTCATCGTGAATGACAAAGGACGAGGAAAGTTAAGGACACTTTCTGACTCGATGACAATATCATCGTTTAAAGTCAATTTTGATTTTTGTGTGTGTGTGGAATAAAAAGCAAGCATTGAAATGGCTGAATTACAACCTTTTGACTGTAATAAACTTAAAACAACATACGTACGTACACAATGAATGCTAACAGGAAGTGGTTCTTCACCAAACGACCGTTCTCTTGTCCCACGTCTCGTAAAACTATCAGCTTGTGTCGCGGACTTGACAATCCTGGAAAATGTAAATAGTACTCACAAAGCCATTTTACATTTAGCTTTAGCCTCCTCTTGATTTGATCAATCATCATTTATTTGAAGATTTAAACATAAACACTTACATGAACAAACACACATATACACAGTTACACTCAAAGGTACTTGTCTATTATACATATGCATTTTGCAAGGTTCTTGATTTCTTTTACATTTCTGGTACTCAGCAATTTGTTGTATTTCATTATATTCATAAACCGTATATTTATTTGAGATAAGTTTAGATCTAGATTCATGGAGAGCTTCACATCAAAACAGGCAGTGGAATTCATCGGCTATAGCTGGCGACACACACAGTTTAAATGTCTTAAATTCTCTATCTATACCAAACCAACGGCCAACTTCGACAGGTAGATTATGGTTACAGGTTCTATGTTTTAGATTAGGATAATAATTTTTTCAAATGACAGGATATCTCTTAAATATTTATAATAATACCCTTTTGAACTTCTCTCGACGTCAGATCTCCAATTTTGATAAAACTGATCTTTTTTCTATCTGAGCAGTTAGCCACTGGCTGGAAACGCTTTGTGGGTCATAAAATACATAGGACAGACCACACTTATTAAGTATTTGCCTCACATTTCTTATCCAGGAATTTTGTTCATAATTAGATAAAAATTGCAAATCAGCAAACTTATAAATATATTGCTATAGTTTCGGTGCACGTCCGGGTTTACAGAGTTTATGCCAAAGTTAACTACCCCTTGAGTTGCATAAATCGATTTAGGCATTCTACCTAGTTCTCGATAAACCGTAAAAATTTTAAGACTCCATGCTAGTTTAAGGAATTTTAGATAAATCTTTTCAATCATGTTCATATTTTCTTATGCCTAATTTTCACAGCCATATAATAATATTGGTAGTATCATTACATCAAAAGCCTTAAGTAAACAATCCAAGGGTATGTTATAATATGGCTTTAGATGAAATCTCCGCTAAACATGTTATTGCTGGCTTGAAATTTCTGATTCTACGTAATGAAAAGGGCTCTGGCTCACCAACACCTGAGCCATTTCCGAACCCTAACAATGCTTCTATGCTGTAAATGATATAAATTTTTATAGGGAATGGTGATTCTGCCGCAACTCCACTGAAGCCAGATTTATACCCCAATACCTATACCACAGAGGTAATTTTTTATGCAAAAACCGAGATGTGATACAACGATCGTCATGTGTTGTATTAAAAGAAACATCAATATTAATTAATAATGAATAACATTTATTATAGACTGCGAGGATATTGGAAAGGTATAGGAGCAATACAAAAGTTAGCCACTGCGGCTAAGGTATCAAAAGATGTGGCCAAGGATTGGTTAAAGAACCAAGCAATATGGAAAATATACTTACTGGCCCCACGTTATATCCCGAGGAAGAAGTTTGATATTTTTACAATGAATGATGTTCATCAGGCTGACCTCTTGTTTCTTCCTCATGATAAGGTAAGACGCAAAATATATAAATACGCTTTAACTGTAGTGGATGTGGCTGGTCGGCACAAAGAGGCTGAACCATAAAGCTCGAAAGATTCAAAAGAAGCAGCTAATGCACTAAGCCGTTTATATAAAAGCTGACCACTAAAATGGCCCAAGTTATTTCTTGAGATCCCGGTCGCGAGTTTATTGGATCAGTAACTAAACTATTAACAAAGCATGATGACGCAATAAGGCATGGTGAAAAAGAGGCCCCCCGTAGCCAAGCTATTGTTGAAAGATTTAACAGGACATTAGCAGAACATCAGTTTGGATATCAGAATGGGATTGAAATGAAATCAGATGGATTAAGATCAACGGAATGGGTGACACGATTATCAGCCATTGTATCAGCGCTAAATAATGAAGTAACGAGATTAATCGGGAAGAAACCATCTGATGCAATTAAAATGAAATCTGTGACTTCCGAATCTTCAGCACCACGGAGAGGCAAAGAACGAAAACCGGATAGTGTAAGATATTTATACCAGCCCGGTGAACTCGAAGGAGGCCAACTTTGTGCAACAGATCCGATTTGGTCTCTTAAGATATATAACATCAGTCGATTGGTTATGAAAGAAGCTGAGCCTATTCTTTATTATCTTAAAGATGGCCTGGGCAAGGGATTTGTACTAGAAGAGTTGCTCATAGTCCCCAGCGATACAGTGTTACCTCCCTAAGTAACCATAGGTAGTTACACCATCCTCATCAATCCATCTCTTTATATCTAAGGGGGAAATTGATGTCTAGTTCATTCTCAATCCATATATCACGTGATTGTCACTTCTTAGCCATTTACCAGTTCGGTGAAACCCACGAGCACGGGTATGGTGCTGACAAACCTAGAAACATAATCGGGGCGAACCGGGATTCGAATCCACAATCATAGGTTTCTGGCGTGCCCAAGGGACGTAACTCTGCACAGCGAATCGCGGCGCTTTAGACGACTCGGCCACCCGTGCCCCCCCACTTCTTAAAGAATTCATCTCGTGTTTGAATGTTCTAACATTAAACAATGTTTCTTTATACTGTTCGTGTTTGATATGTTTTTTTACCACATACTTCTTAACGCCCTTAGCTTTTCTTATGTCCCATTATCAGTCTTCTTTATAAAAATACATCTAAGGTCTTAATCCAACATACTCCACAATAGCAGTTCCAGCACATTATCCTTCATCTTGCCTAATACCTTTTTATTTAACGCGCTGTGCAATGGATTATCTTTTGGGTAATCGCTCGTGTCATACATATCTATTTTTTTCTGCCATATCTTTATACACATCCTCGGTTTGTATTTTCATCAAAAAGAATCAGTATCAGTATATAACACCTCGCATCTATCACCGTATTATTTCTTAAGTTCGCTGTATTAAAAGTCATACATTAAGTGTTTTGACAAGTCAAGAATACTCATACCAACGTACATGGTATGTTGAATTTTATATTACTCTTCCGCATATGTAGTGCGGCCAAGTCGTTATCAAATATCTTACTTCTGTTAAAAGCCGGACTAGCTATAAGTCTTTCTTCCTCATAAGATCTGACCAATTTAAAATCAACACGCCTCCTTAGATTCTCCATAGTTTTACCAAATACTGAGTTATTCATGAGCTTATATAGGTTCTTTTCGAAATCGCTGGTAGCTATCTTTCTTAAATCTGTGTTCAACCTTATATAGGGCTCCATCCAAGGTCTTTGATCAAACTTAAGAACTCTGTGTATTTTCTTTCGTGTCATACCTAGTGATAGATATAACTGCAGATTTCTATAGTGGACCATATATTTTGTTTTATCAATCAAATTTGGTACGTTAGCTAACCTAGTATTGCCCATCAAGGAGTGTCGATATTCGGACATCCAATCTCTATTGACCATTAATCTTTCGGGAGCTAGCAGATAACTGTTATGGTCTTTGTGTAACTCTGTTGGATATTCTAAGTCAACTTCTAGTATGTACCCTTTATCAGAATCTGTGGGAATATCATTGACATCAATATTTTTCACCCATTCAAACCCTCCCATGGGCAAAGGTTGGCTCATATCCCATCCATACAAAATGTTGGCGTCGAGATATAATATGTGCGTATCAGGTTTACTCGAATCACATCCTTCCACTAATTTATTATTAGCCTTATAATACCTTTTGCCGTCATCCATATACAACCTCTTCATCCTTTCTCAACAAACAAGTGCATCTTATAATCGGTGAGTAATTTTAACTCTACACCAGTCTTCTTCAACAATGTATCCCACGAGAGTCCGGGACTGGAATAGTAACATGCCGGGTCCAAGCCGTATTGTTTTAAAAAGGTCTTTCTAAATATCTCGAATATATCCGCGAGTAACAGTACATCGGTTTTTAAGTACAGATTGTGATAATCACTTAAATTCTAACAACCTAATATATCACCACACCGTCAGAGCATGTTCATAATCGGCATCGGTTATTTTAGATTCTGTTAAGTAACTATAGAATGATTCAACTGGTGGTAATTTAGTATCGTCAAATCTAGACCAATCATCAATATATTCGTAAGGATATAACCTTTTCTCAGCAACAAATGCCTTGTTAACTGATCAGTATATTTATTTGTTATTGCAAAGTCTTTGGGATTGTTTGCATTAGCTAAATTGTCCAGGGAAGATAACAGAAAACTGTACAGAGTCTATGAATCTAAGTCCATTACTTTGTTTTGTTCTCGCTTTCCCATCCTTGTCCGTATAATGTATAGTTTTTGTCAAGGAGAATGATATATATCTCTCCATATTATTACGAATGCACGTTAAACTGCCATTAGTCTTTGAGATCGCTTGCATAATGAGATGAGAATCATATCCTCTGAGGTTATGAAACACAATGGGGATGGGTATTGTTTCTGATTTCATTTTAAGTTTCAAGTTACACTCGTTATGCGCGGCTCCCCTGTAATGACACATAACGTGGCAATTATCTCTTACAGAATCCCCATTCAGGGGTTTATTACAAACATGGCAACTCGTTGACTTCTTATAGGCCCTCCAATCATCCCTCGTCATACACATGGGTTTCTTACTCGAAAAATTTTACCTGATTATTCTCTCTTCGTTTTGTAGATATTCTAGTAATTTTTCCGCTGCATCGGTACCTCTGTAAATCACGGACGCATTTGTTTTCCCATGATAACTTACAACTATATATCCAAACCCACAAGGAGTCTGTTCTTGAGTTTTGTATGTAAAACTACATTCAGTGCTGTGTTCGGTATTTTCTATTGGTTTGATAAGTGATTACAATATTGCTCAAATTCAAATATATTTTTACCCTCTTTAGGCATATCAATCCTGATAGGGTCTGCCCAACACCTCTGCAGTCTTCTTTATGCGCTTCTAAAAGATCTTGTCTGCTGTACCCATGCAGGCATCTCGTAGAAATATTTCTTTTCCTTATGGGTTGTTTGATCGCATAATAGCCTGCTTAAACTCTTTATCCACGTATAATTTCCCTT